AAAGCCGGAAGTGGTACAGTGGCTCAAGGGGTAGAGCGCTAGCCTTGAGCTGAAGAGCTGAGGGACAGCGCCCAGGACCAGGACCAGACCCAAAAAAAAAAAAAACCTTTATTTAAAAAAAAAACCCTTTATTTCCCCACAATATATACCAATAAAAACTAGTTTTTATTTTGTTTATTTACTTATTTACTTATGCCAGTCCTGGGGCTTGAACTCAGGGCCTGAGCACTGTCCCTGAGCTTCTTTGGCTCAAGATTAGTACTCTCCCACTTAGCCACAGCTCCACTTCTGGCTTTTTCTGTTTATGTGGTACTGAGGAATCAAACCCAGGGCTTTGTGCATGCCAGGCAAGCACTCTACCACTAAGCCACATTCCCAGCCCTAAAAAATATTTTTTTAAATGTTATACTTACATACACTTACTGTTCAGACACTGGAAGCAGAGAGTGAAATGATTCACTCATGTCAGAGACAGCTTAGCTGAAGTCCAGGAAGCCCTTGGGTAGAGGCCTCCCCCCCAGCCTGGTAGCCCACCCCCAAGCAGCATCCCCAGACCAGTGAAAGCACTCAGGGACTCAGCATCTGCAGATGGCCTCAACCTTTCAGCCATGATATGGCATCTGCCAAGACAAAACTCTAAAGAACTTACTATGAAATGATGCTTCTTGCATAAGGACAGGCCTTGGAGAGTCACAACAAAGCTCCCTCCTCTGAGGCTGCAGTCTCGGCTTCTCCACTGTCTTGATGATGCCACACAAAGTGTGACCCCGCGCTGGCTTCTCGCCATACCCTGGAGACAATGCTCATCTGCCCACCACCACGTGATAGCCAAGCCAAACCTCTGTCTCATTTTTACCATCCAACCACAACAGCTCATTTAATTCAAGCCTTTTCACAGAGGAAGCAAAAGACTTCCTAATCTCAAGCAAAAAAATGCCAGCTATGCGCTCCCACATTCTGCCAGCCCTGGAGCTGAGGGCGCCAGGGCTGTCACCCTAACCTCCCAGCTGATCTGCAATTCAATTCTCTTTTGTACACAACCACACAGCACTGTGGACAGTTCAGACCCAAGCTTCTCCCCCAGAGCAGTCCATCTTTGTCCTCACCCACAACCCACAACCTGACCTTACAAGCTGACCCGGAAGCCAAGTCAGACTAGAATCTGGGCCAGAGACTAACCACATAGTTCCAGCTGCCTTTGGGAAGAGAAATGGATTTCCGTTTTGACCTGGTAATCATGGCTTGCTGTGTGTACCAGGGAGTGGAGGGAGAAGGGATGGGGAGTGGGTAGAACCATAAAGCTTTCAAAAGCCTCACAGGCAAAAACACAGATGAAACACTCGTACCCAAGAAAAGGAAGCCAGGCAGCCTGTGGCCGCAGCCTGCTTTATATATATAGCAAGTGCACAGGGGTCACAGCAGGGGATGACGCCACAAACATGTATGTGACCGGGGACAGTGATCTAATCTGTCACTTTCTCATTTCCACGTGCCTGTCCCTCGTCCCCCAGCCTTAATCCCACCATCCTTTTTTTTTTTTGTCTGTCGTGGGGCTTGAACTCTGGGCTTAGACACTATCCCTCAGCTCTTCAGCTCAAGGCGAGCGCTCTACCACTTAAACCACAGCACCACTTCCATTTTTTTTCAGGTGGTTTGATTGGAGATTAAGAGTCTCACAGACTTTCCTGCACAGGCTGGCTGTGAACCGCGATCCTCAGATCTCAGTCTTCTGAGAAGCTGGGATTACAGGTGTGAGCCACTGGCGCCTGGCTTCTTCCTATTTATTTTTGCACCCAGCTAGATCCCTTATCCACCCATAGTTTACTATAAAACATTGTTTTCATCAGCACTGGAGTACCTAGCAAATAGTATTATATTTAGGCCTGTAAGTAAAGAGCTATCAAAATTCAAAACAGGACATAAATCACAATGGAAATCCATTTTTTTTCCAGAATTTTCTCATATAGCCCAAGCTGACCTTGAACTTGTGATCCTCTGACCTCAGCCTCTCTAATTCTGGGATTATGGGTGTGTACTACCACACCTAGCTTAGTCACATTTTGTTAAACCAAAAAAAGCTTAATACTAAATCTTATTGTTAAGCCAAAAAGAGTAATGGGGCTTTCAATCTCACACACACACACAAAAGTGAGATTACAGCTAGTCCAAACCTTAGCTACTAGAAGAGCAGAAATTAAGAGGATTGTGGTCCAAAGTCAGCCCAGGCAAAGTTTATGTGACTTCATCTCAGCCAATAAAACATCGGGCATGGTGATATGCACTAGTCATCCAGTGTCACACCCTTTAATAACTCAATGCCATTGATTGATTTTGTAATTTTATGCATTTAAAAATAGGTGCTGCTGAACCATACTTTTAATCACAGCTCTTCAGGAGGCTGAGATCTGTGGATCACAGTTTGAAGTCAAATGGAGCAGGCAAATTGGAGAGACTCATCTCCATTTAACCAGCCAAAAAGATGGAACTGGAGGCATGGGTTCAAATGGTAGAGTACCAGCCATGACTGGAAAAACACAAAAACAAAAACTGATCCACAGCAAGAGGCTCTGGGTATAAGCCTCTGGGTTCTAATATTCTGTGTGTGTGTGTGTGTGTGTGTGTGTGTGTGTGTGTGTGTGTGTGTGTGTGTGTGTAGTTATGCTTCATTTATATTATCTAAGTATAACCAAAGTATCAAGTTTAAAAAGGCTAACATTCCATTCATATAACATCATAAATGTTGTAAAAAAACATTTGAAGAGGAAAAGTCCAGCTTACCTGTTGTATGGTTGCTGTTCTAACCTAGTAAACCTTGAGGAGAAGGGGGCCCGCCATGGCCCCAGGTGTTGCGGGGCGGGCTGGCCTGAGTAAACACGGGCTGGTACCCGCCCTCTCTGGAGTCCCCGTTCTGTTTCAAAGATTCTGTGATGCCATCAATTGCTCAGAATGAGCAAGGTTGCTGAGATACTGTAAGGTTCCTTTTCCTTCCAAGACATCAGAGCTTGGGGAGACGCAAGTTGGACAAATGCTAATGAGCCAAGCAGGCTGAAAGCCTGGGAGGGCTTGGTGGCACAGTATCCTGAACCTCTGGGCCAGAATATCTTGCAGGGAAATGGTACTGCTCCAGAGACAGAAAGACAGAAACCTGCAGGTGTCCTGCCCAGGAACAGAGGATTGGAGAAAGGACAGCCAGGTTTCCATTCATCAGGTGAAACATTTCTCCAGCAAGGTCTACCCTCAAAATAGAAAGTGATTAATTTAATAAACCCATGCCACCCTTTACCAGAGAAGCATAACCTTAAAAATATGAATGTGAGTAAATCTAGGCCTTAGCTACAGCAATATCACCACACATTTTGTTAAATGTTTAAATGTTTCTCAGGGACCCCTCAGCTCTCTCCTCCACCCCACAACCTCTCACTGTTTGGGACTCAGCCTCTTCCTCCATTCTGTCTGTCTGAACACACTGCTTTAGCACATGGTGACAGTCCTGGAGCCATCCTCTCATGAAGAGCCAGCCAGACACTTGGTAAAGCTGAAACAGTATGCAACTAAATACATAAGGTCAGCTGGGCACCAGTGGCTCATGCCTATAATCCTAGCCACTCAGGAGACTGAGATCTAAGAATCCAGGTTCAAAGCCAGCCTGAGCAGGAAAGTCTATGAGACTCTTATCTCCAATTAATCATCAAAATGTAGGAAGTGGAGCTGTAGCTCAAGTGGTAGAGAATTTGCCTTGAGCACAAAAGCTCAGGGACAGCACCAAGGCCCTGAGTTCAAGCCACCAGACAGGCACTATATATATATATATATATATATATATATATATATATATATATATATATATAAAATGTATTTATCTATAAAGTCAACCTAGACAATCTACAATATTATTATGTTATTTCCTATGATATTGTTCTCTAGTTTTTTCCAAGGACAGTTTTTCAGAAAGCTTTATTTTCTTACCATGCCTCTTTTCAAACAAGTAATAAGAATGACACAGTGTTGGGTTCACTTGGGCAATACAAACATACTCCTAAGAAAGCATACAATCTCCTAGGCTCACATAGCTAACTATGTGAGAAGCTAGAAAGTACTTCAGAGAAGAAGGATGAAAGAGAGAAGAGAGAAGGGATGTCCACTGGAGAAAGGGCAAGGACACACCAATTCCATGTAGAAGGGACACAAGTGTTGTGTTTGAGAGAGATCTGGTTCAGGAAGGAAGAGTGAGGCTCAGAATGTAAAAGAACTTCCAGTCACTTCCAGGTGTTCAAAAGCAAGAACTATAAGATCCAGTGGCAAATGTCTAGTCTCTGGAAGTAGCTATTCAAACAATATCTGGGTAATGTGTTAAGTTCTATAGAGTGCTCCCTGTTAGTAAGAGGTCTGGATAAAAGGGATCCTCAACTCCTTCTGATTATGTGGGCTTCTTATTCTGCCAGTAAGCCATGGAGCTAGCAAGTAAGCCTCTCAGAAGAAAGATCAACACTTCCTTTCTTGGGAAACTAAATATTTTTTATTCATTTACTGAATTTCATAGACCTAAGAGTCCTTGGCACTACTAACAAGAACGGCAGCACAGACCACACTGCATGTACAAGGAACCATGGTGCCTTGAGGCACACCCCACCCAGGGAGCAGGAAAAGATTCACAAGGCTCCGTGACACTCTGAATCATAGAACCGACCACTCTAGAGTCTTTGTTCTTGCTTCCCATTTGAAGCCAATGTGACAAGTTAAGGTGAGCTTAGAGGAGGTCCCCTAGTGTGGGGCATGAGGCTTCCTCCCTCCCTCCCTCTCATCTGTTCATCAGAAGCAGAAGGCTCAGTCACAGAGTAAGCATCTCAAGGAGGAACTCAGCCAGCCAGGTACATGAGCAGATTTTATATATGCTTCCAGTCTAGCAGCCACAGGACCCAAAGCCACATTGAAATGACAGCTTGGGGCTCAACTGAAAAGTTTGCCAACAAGGGCTCTCTCGGACCAGACACTTTGATTTCTTTGGCCCACATGGAAATGTCATTTGGTGCCACTGCAAAACCAATTAAAAGATGCTAAGAGCGCCCAAGAACCTGGGTTCTCATTTGGCCATGGAGAAGATGAAGTCAGCCACAGGCTGCTGGCTGGTTCCTGACCAACTCTTCTGCCAGAGGAAGGGCTAGTCAGTACCCAAGGCTTATGGGGCCAGCAGAGGGACCCTAGAACTCCTTGTGTGCCTGCTGTAATCGTTTGGCCACCGCGGTGATCAGAGCTGCCCCCTTTCCACTGCCATCTTCCGACAGCATGAATGCCACATCACACTTAGGGGCTAATTCTTTCACTGTCTCCTGCAGCACCCGGGAGAAGCTGTGAAAAGAGAGAAATGTCATCAGCCCTTGCACATGAGATCAGCAGATTACAAATTAATTTCCTCTTTCCTGATCTTAATTGCAAAAGTCCACTTTAAAGGAAAAAAAAAAAAAAAACAACCCACAAGGACTCATTATGTAGCCCTGGCTGTCCCCAAACTTGTAATCCTCCTATATAAACCCTCAAGTGCTGGAATTACAGGTATGCACCACCAAACCAATTGGGGAATATCTGCCCTTTTACCACTAAGCATAATGTTAGTAGTGAGTTTCACAGATATTCTTGATGGGTTAAGGAATTGCCCTTATTCCTAGTTGCTTTGATCATAAAAGGGTATGGATCTTACCAAGTTGTCTGTGCTTACTGAAATGACCATGGTCAAGTCTACCCCTTAGTTAAATCTTGGTTCAAGGGAAAGGCAGGTAAGAACAAGGCCAAAATGTGTGACCCCCCCTCTCCCAGAGAATAGAACACTAGCCATCAGTACTAGATGAAAGGTTGAGTTGAGGTTCACAACAGTGATGCCTTGAACAAATGAAGTTCAGTATGATTGGGAATTTTATGAGCTTGTTAATATATTTCCTTTTTGCTAAAACAAAATATGAAACATTGACATAAAAAAAAAAACGGCTTTGGGCTGGGAAGGTGGCTCAGTGGTAGAGCGCTTGCCTTGCATGCATGAGGCCCTGGGTTCGATTCCTCAGCACCACATAAGAAAAAAGAAAAAAGCCGGAAGTGGTACAGTGGCTCAAGTGGTAGAGCGCTAGCCTTGAGCTGAAGAGCTGAGGGATAGCGCCCAAGCCCAGAGTTCAGACCCCATGACCAGACCCCCCCAAAAAACAAAAAAAAAAACACAGCTTTTCTGCTAAGCACCAATGAGCCAGTGGCTCATGCCTATATTCCTAGCTATTTAGGAGCCAAGATCTAAGGATCATAGTTCAGAGCCCATCCTGGGAAGATTGAGTCTCAAGATGCTTATCTCCAATTAACCAGAAAAAAAAGCTAGAGCTAGAGGCATGATTCAAGTAGTATAGCACCAACTGTAAGCAAAAAAGCTGAGCAAGAGCTCAAAGCCTTGAGTTCCAGCCCACGGACAGGCATAAAACCTGCACACATCTTGTTCTAGAATCTAGGTGGTAGATGTTGGTGCTGCTGACCTTGTAGACCTGTAGAGTCTGGAGTCTACAGAGGCAGGCCTACATTTCCACATGATCCCTTCCCACTCTGTTCACAGGTACTCACTGAGGGTGGAGCTTGTATAGGGTGCCATCCACACCCACGGTGAGCTTCAGGTGCTCCAGCCCCTGGTCTTCTCTCCTTTTCTCCACAATGGCAGCTAGGCCTGCACCACAGAGCTGGGCTGCCCTCCGGGACACGGCTCCACACACCTCCTTTACTATGATGCTGTCTTCACATGTGCTGTCCAGGCCCAGCTGCTGCAGGATCCTCCTGACCTGGAGAAGAGCTAACCGGTCGCTGTGGGCAAGCAAGGCAGGATGTCAGAGACTGCTTCCTAGGATATAGAAGCTGTTCAATGTGATCTAGAGCCTTATCTCCCATTAACCCCCCAAAAGCCAGAAGTAAAGCTGTGGCTCAAGAGACAGAGTACCAGTCTTGAGCAAAAAGGCTGAGCCAGAGTATGAGGCCCTGGTTCAAGGGGGAGGGGGAATGAGAGAGAATGAGAACTATTAAAGATATATACCCAGGTAGGACAGAGCAGGTGCTATAGTCAGAGCATCAATCTCACTGTGATCTGCTGATTTCTACCTCCAAATAGGTAGGATGATTACAAGCTTGCTCAGCCACATAGATAAGTTATTGTGAAAATATTTCATGCCATGGAAAATGATCATGGCATAAGGGGGGGGGAAGATGATATAAACTACATACTATTTTATCTCAGGCTTAAGTGTATTTGTTTTCTTTTATTTTGTCCTCACAGAAAAAAAAAATGGGAGAGCAGTGATTCAGATGTTAGTAGGTTTATAGGTAATGCTTATTTTCTTCTACTTATCTGTATTTTTTAACTTTCTGAAATGAGTAATGTTTGTGTGTTTTTAGGGTGAATAAAAAGGAAGCCTGCAGTTTCTTCCTGCTTTCTTTATGGTTTATTGTTATTTAATAAATATTTCCTCCCTTGATCCCAGGGAAACTCTGGGGATTAAGCAGCAATTGTTTATCTTATAAAGAAGTAAACAGAGCTCCAGAGAGAGGAAACAAGTCCCACAACAGACAGACAGCTCAAGCTGAAGCTTACACCTAGGCTCTGGGACTGTAAATCCTAGGCCCTTTCCCTGAGAAGAACTGTCTCTAGCAGGTGTGAAATGGACCCCTGTCAGAAGAACACCTAAGATAAGAGTCTCACAGACTTTCTTGCCCAAGATAGCACCAAACCTCCATCCTCAGACCTCAGCCTCCTAAGTAGCTAGGATTAGAGGCATGAGTCACTGGTGCCCAGCCAGACCTGAAATTTACAAATGGAAACATCCAGGCAGCAGAGCTATGGTTCAGGTGGTAGAACACTAACCTTGGGTAAAAACAAACAAACAAACAAACCCCTCAAGGACAGTGCTCAGGTCCTGAGTTCAAGCCCCAGGACAAGCACCAAAAACAAATAAAACTCAAATCTTCCTGACCTTGACGTAACAGCACATCCCATTCAGAGTGTCTCCCACCAAGCAAGTAAACTGATCACACATCACCTTTCAATCTGGGACAGGAATTTGGTCTCAAAGATGCCCCTGGTCCGGAGACGCTCTGAGATCTGCCCTCGGAAGAGGAGACCCCGCTTGGTCAGGTCAATCAGGATTTGCCGTACAATCTCCCCCAGGTACATCCCACTGGTCATTTTCTCATATCTGGGAGAAGAGGGATAAATAAGGCTGGTGAGGGCAGGGAAATCAGCCCTGGCCTGTTTCTGCAGGCTGCCATAGGAGGGCATGTCATTGATGTAACCACAGGCCTGGCTCAGGCAGGCCCAGAGAGATGCGATGCGGAAGACAGTGTCAGGTGAGAAAGCCAGGCTTTGGAACCACATGAACCAAGAGCCAGACCCAGCTCTCCCATATCTTAGCTGCACAAAGTAAGCAAGTACTGTGAGCTGGCATCCCCCAAACAGAAAAGAGATAAGAACCCCACAAGAACACAGAGGTAGGGTCTAGCAACACAGGCACTAAGTCAAAATCCCTCTCCTGGCCTCCAAGCCAACAACCCTCCACCCCCCACCCCGGCAAGCTTTGTGCTACCAGTCTCTTACGAGAGTCTTCACTTTGCATTTGACTCCACATGTCTTCAAATTTGACTTCCAACAATAAATCTGAAGGATTATACACCAAGAGTGCTCAAAGATGTTTTTTCCTTTCCTTTTTTATTGTTTTTTTTCCATTGTGGTTGGTCACAGGGCTTGAACTCAGAGCCTGAACACTATCCTTGAGCTTTTCTGCTCAAGGCTAGCACTCTATCACTTTAAGCTACAGCTCCACTTCTAGTTTTCAGATGGTGAATTGGACATGAGTCTCAGGACCTTTTCTGCCTGGACTGGCTTTGAACCACAACCCTCAGATCTCAGCTTCCTGAGTAGCTAGGATTTCAGGTGTGAGCCACCAGGTCCCAGCTCCTTCCCTTTTTCTACCAGCTGTGAGCTCCACAGGGCCAAACAGCAAGGAAGACAGGCACTAGAGTGTGAACAGTGATCACACCACTCACAATCACACACTGCTGGATCCCACTGCCTACCGGGGCGAATGGAACACAGAGCTTATGTATGTGCTGGGCTTATGTTGTCTAAAAAGTCCAACACCTCTACAGTCAAAGGACCCAATATCAGGACAGAAAACTAATGTTGACTGGGAGGCAAATTCACAAGTTCTTCCTCCTAAACTCTCGGTCAAGACACAAAAGTTGTGAGGAACTTGCTCCTTGAAGGACGTATGGAACTCAGATGTCCCAACTGGAGAATGAAAGATCAGGCCCCATGGCTTTTTGTGTCTTACGTTTTTTGATTAATTATTGGGCCTATTGTAACTCAACTGCCTCCTGCTGACAAAAACTAACACCAAAAGAAATTGAGGGCTTGTCCAGGCCTCATCTGGACATTATTCTCAGCTTAACAGCTATCTTTGGCCAAGACAGTTCCTCACACACCCCACCTACTCAGGCCCCCAACCCGCACATCAACCCATACAATAGAACACAGGTTTCCCCTTTACTATATTATGGTGTTGCAGTTAGGCCACATGGCCTGCAAAACCTAAAACATTTGCTATCTGGCCCTTTAAAGAAAAGCTTTGCCAAACCTGTTCTAGAGATTAGGCCTTGGCTAACAAGCAAGGCTTGCTCTATTTTGCTTTATCTCTGCCCACTCTTCCTCTCATCCCAGGAAAAGCAGTCCTCTCAGGATGCAGGTGAACATCTACTCCAATGGTTTATAAAGCCATGCATTATTTTCAGTCTGGAATGAACCTCACAAAGGCTGATGATCTCTGGTTAAGACATGGCAACATGGCAAAAACTAGCCTCCCAGCCATCCCTCCTCTAGAACAAAGCCTTCCCGCCTGCCTGGCAGCCAAGCTTTAAAATGGATGAAGACATTACCCTCTGGCCCAATCTATGAAAAGCCATGGAGAGATCTCATTCACTAGGTCCCACAACTCTTGGTGCTCCATGACACAGGCGAGTGAACAGAGATTCTGACAGCTCTGCTTCCTTCCAGAGCCACCTTTTACCCTCATGGCATGTGATGGTAAAAGGGACCCCCTTTTCCTGTTGCCAATCAGAAACATCATAATATTTTGTTTTCATTCCAGGAAGATACTTCACCGATATCTGATGCAGACAGGTAATGAATATACAAAGCTATCATGTCCATGGTATGACAATGGCACCTCTCCCCAGCTCTAGAGACGGCGCTCACTGCAGAACCTGTATAAATGCACACATCCTCCCTCCTCACCTCTGTTTGCCAGGATTCAGGGACCCCTCATCCACCTCCTTGTCATACTGGGTCCGGATGTGATCTATGCAGCCATTGTCTCCGAATCCTCCCCATTCTGTGTTGATGCACATCTTCCCTTCGTCCCCTTCCACCAGCTCGATGTTCCTCATCTCCTCCATGTAGCACATGTTGCTTCCTGTCCCTAGAAGGAATTGTGAAGGCACTTCGGACCCCACGGACAGTACCAGGTCCAAGAGAGGCCAGGGAATAAGAGTTGAGGCTTGGACTCAGCATCAAAAACAATACTTATCGCCAGGTGCCAGTGGCTCATGCCTGTAACCCTAGCTACTCAGAAGGCTAAGATCTGAGGATCACGGTTCAGAGCCATCCCAGGCAGGAAAGTCTATGAGACTCTTATCTCCAATAAGCCACTCAGAAAATAGGAAGTGGCACTGTGGTTCAAGTGGTAGTGTACTCGCCTTGAGCTAAAGAGCTGAGGGACAGTGCCCAGGCCCAGAGTTCAAGCCCCATGACTGACAAAAAAAAAAAAAAAAAAATCAAAATGAACTCCAGGAAATGCAAACAAGAGGGTTTTTTCTTTCTTTGTTTTTTCTTTTCGTCTTGTTTGTTCATTTATCTGTCTTTAGAATGGTAAAGGACACAGAAATGGAGGGACAAAGGGCGAATAAATACAGAAGTGGTACTCACTAGACACTATGTTGAAAATGAACTATATAACTGTGGGTGGAGATGGGAGGGAAAAGCTGTGAGTGAGTGAGTGAGGGAAGGGGTGACATTGTCCAAAAAGAAACATACTCTTTACCTGATTTATGTAACTGTAACCCCCTCTGCACATCACCTTTATAATAACAATAAAAACATTTTTTAGAGTTGAGGCTTGGAGTAAGACTAAGCTGAACAATATTCCAGCTTTATACTCAGTTGGTTAGTCTTAAGTACCTTATCTTTCAGAGGCTATTTGGACCTATAAAAAAGGAAATGATAGCCAGGCGCCAGTGGCTCACGCCTGTAATCCTAGCTACTCAGGAGGCTGAGATCTGAGAATTGCGGTTCAAAGCCAGCCCGGGCAGGAAAGACCGTGAGACTCCTATCTCCAATAAACCACTAGAAAACCGGAAGTGGCGCTGTAGCTCAAGTGGTAGAGCGGTCGCCTTGAGCTGAAGAGCTGAGGGACAGTGCCCAGGCCCAGAGTTCAAGCCCCATGACCAACAAAAAAAAAAAAAAAAAAGGAAATGATGCCTGCTTACTGGTTTGTTGTAAGTTAAAAAATTAAGTGGGGGCTGGGAAGGTAGCTCAGTGGTAGAGCGCTTGCCTTGCATGCCTGAGGCCCTGGGTTCGATTCCTCAGCACCACATAAGCAAAAAGAAAAAAAAGCCAGAAGTGGCGCTGTGGCTCAAGTGGTAGAGCGCTAGCCTTGAGCTGAAGAGCTGAGGGACAGCGCCCAGGCCCAGAGTTCAGGCCCCAGACCAGACTCCCCCCCCCAAAAAAAAATTAAGTGGTACTTGTAGGTTTTCTCCACATGGTAGGTAAGTGTCCAGTGAACAGTACCTCTCATCTTTATCATCATCATCATCATCATCATCATCATCAAATGACAAAGACATGCCAAGCTTCCGAAGAGCCACAGACTTGGCAGGCAGAGCTTCAAGGGGCCATGAGAAATCCTCTGATCTTAGAAAAGCAAACATTTGGCACCCATGCACCACCCCTCTCCTCCCTTGCACATGACCTGGACAACTCTTCTAAACACAGTGGTTCAGGCATCTCTTAGGACCAGTGACACAGACCTCTCTAGCCTCCAGAGCTGGTCTAACCCTTCCCACAGATGATGGAGTTCAAGTCAGAAAGAAAAAGCAACTGCCCAGGTTCAAAAGTAAATAGAAATCCAAATGAGCCAGAGCCTCTGCCTGGCTCCATCCCTCTATGATTCATACTCTGGAAGTCCAAGTAACACCCTAGAAAACTCAACCAGATTCTGCCACTACGCAACTGTGCCTGTCACCTGGAAAGCATTTCCTCTTTATCTCTATCAGTTCAAATCTCACTTGGCTCCCATCCTCTTAGGAAGACTTATCTTTCTAGATCCAATCTTGGTCTTGCTTACTGCAAGACTTCTTCCAAAGGCCTTTAAAAAGCCTGCATTGCCTTAGACCTTTCCCTTCCCCTCTTCTAAGTTTTCTTCCAACTCTTCCCCTTACCACTCAACCAGAAGTAGGCAGGTAGCAGAGGAGATACACACTTGGAGCCGGAGTAAGAATGGCTTGGCCAATCCTGGGCCAACATGAGTACTGTCCACCTGATAGCTAGTCCCATGGCCATAATTTGAATATCTCTTCCTTTCCTGTCATCTCCTTTCTCAACAAAAAAAGGATGACTGTGGCTTAGAACCCTTAATGGTAAATTATGTTAAGTAGAAATGTAGGAATGAAGTAACCTGAACCCCAATCTTAGTGAAGGCCATCTCTACCTTGGATGGAGCCTCTAAGTTTTGGATCAATGACCCCTACCACTTTAAGGCATCAAAAAGGCAGGCTCATGCCTGTAATTCTAGTACTCAGGAGGCTGAGATCTGAGGATAATGGTTTAAAGCCAGCTGGGGCAGGAAAGTCTGTGAAACTCTTATCTCCAATAAACCACCAGAAAACCAGAGGTGGCGCCGTGGCTCAAGTGGTAGAGTGCTAGCCTTGAGGGACAAAGCCCAGGCCCAGAGTTCAAGTCCTATGACTGACAAAAAATAAGACAGGCTGGGAGTAGGCCAGTGGGCCACAACTGAGCACTTACCTGCAATCAAGCCAATCTCACAGTTAGGATCTTCATAGCCACAGGTCATCATGGTCCCCACTGTATCATTCACCACTGCAACGATGTCCAGGTCAAACTCCTGCAAAGGAAGCAGCCTTACTAGAAGCAGACTTCCCAGGGGCCTGTGAGCCCAAGGCAGCAGAGGCCTGTGTCACAGGGACTGGGCACGAGATGGCAGAGCAGAGGGATGTGGGGAAAGGGACAAGGCAGGCACAAGCCTCAACATCATGTCCTACATTTCTCCTCTTGATAGCCTCCCTGAGCATGTCCACCACGTCTTCCCCTTCACAGTCAGTGGCTTTGAAGCCTTTGGTCCATCCTATGAGTGTTCCCTGAAAGAAAGGAGGGGGGGGGGGCACTTACTCAAGCAGTAGCTCACAAGCTGTGCACTGTGCAACTTCTACATCTAGGAGACATGAGGCAACTGGACATCCTTGCTAGTCAGGTGTGTGGACTTTGCAGTGTGTATTCACTGCAGTCCTAACTCAGCACAGAGGAAGCATGGAGTAGGATAGCCAGATAAGCCATAATCTTCAAGAGTCAGGCGTTAACTTCTGAGGCACACTTTTACCACACAGAATCAAAAGCTATGGCAGGTGATCCCACTTCTAATTTAGCCTGCCACGGATTAAGATGTCATCCAAGGTAGAGTTACAAAATGCAAGCCAAGGCTTTACTCTTCAGTGAACACCAGACATACCCATATTCCAACAAGAGCAAGGAGACCACTCATCCTACACAGCAACATAAAAAATCTTTTTTTTAAAGTTTTATATACTTTTTGTATTTACGTGGTACCAAGGAATTGAACCCAGGTCCTCATGTGTGCTAGACAAACACTCTACCAGGAAGCCACATTCCTGCCTAAAAACATCTTTCTTTTTTTGGTTGTGGGGCTTGACTTCTAGGCTTGGGTACTGTCCCTCAGCTCAAGGCAAGTGCTCTACCACTTGAGCCACAGTGCCACTTCCAAAAAAAATCTTAATTTAGCAGTGAGAGAAGGCTGGAAAGAGAGAATAGTGTTACGTATACACTGTTACATGAAAGCTCACTAGACATACACACAGTGAATTAATCTGTTTGTTGTTTTTTGTGTGCCAGTCCTGGGGCTTGAACTCAGGGTTTGAGCATAGTCTCTGAACCTTTTTCTCTCTCAAGGCTGGCACTCTACCTCTTGAGCCACAGTTCCACTTCTGGCTTTTTGATGGTTAATTGGACATACGAATTGCATGGGCTTTCCTGCCCAGGCTGACTTTCAACCATGATCTTCAGATCTCAGCCTCCCAAGAAGTTAGGATTATAGGTGTGAGCCACCAGCACTTGGATCCTATTAGTTTTTTTTTTTAATTATACACGTGCTTGAATCTGGAATACGATATACAGCTTGAATGGTTGTCTCTGGGTGCAACATCCTGAGTGACATTCTTTTTATTTGTGCCAGTCCTAGGGCTTGAACTCAGGGCTTGGGAATTGTCACTGAGGGATGTGTGTGTGTGTGTGTGTGTGTGTGTGTGTGTGTGTGCTTTTGGATGCTTGTTGGTCATGGGGCTTGAACTCTGGGTCTGGGAGCTGTCCCTCAGCTCTTCAGCTCAAGGCAAGTGCTCTACCACTTGAGCCACAGCACCACTTCCAGTTTTCTGGTGGTTAATTGAAGATAAGAGTCTCATGGACTTTCCTGCCTAAGCTGGTCTGGATCCTCAGATCTCAGCCTCCTGAGTAGCTAGGATTACAGGCATGAGCCACCGGTGTCCTAGTGAGGGTTTTGTTGTTTTTGTTTGTTTTGTTTTGTTTTGTTTTGTTTGCTCAAGCCTGACACTCTACCATTGAGCCACAAGTTCACTTCTGAATTTTTGGTAGTTTATTGGAGATAAAAGTCTCATGGACTTTCTTTGGCTTTGAATCTTGATCCTCAGATATTAAACTCCTAAGTAGCTAGGATTACAGGCATGAGCCACCAGCATGTGACTCTGAGTGCCCATATTCTTTAACTTTTCTAAAATTAATATGTCTATTTTTTATAACACTGAGAGCCAGATGCCAACAAACAAACAAACAAAAACCCCCCACGAAAGTAGTGATTTGAAGCTGCCAGCAAATCCAATGTCAGCTCCCAAACCCTGTGGCTATCTGACCCTCTCCTGAGACCTCAGCCAGCAATCATGTTTCCACCTCAGCACATTTCTTGGCACCCTGGACCCCCCGCCCCCTGCTCCTTCCCTGGATGGTATATATAGAGACAAGTAGAGAAATATCCTCAACTGAAAACCCTTCTTATACATTGTCACTACACACACACACACACACACAATTTATTATATCTCTTTTTTCCTCCCCTTCATAGGTGGCTTTGTCTCCAATTGCCTACCTTCTTCACCATGCTTTACAGGCTTGTCAGTGCTGTCAGAGGAGACAGGCCTGGAAGGGCGGTTCCCCTGGGTGAGAAGCTCAGCTACGTCCTGACTTATCAGGCCCGTCAATCATTCAGCACCATGGACAGCTGCACGTGGCACTATTTCCCATCAGGCATTAATTTTTAATGGGCCCAGTGACACAAGGATGCATTAGTCTTTTTTTTTAAGTGGTTTTTTTTAAAAAGGAGAAAGCAAAAAATAAAAAAACAAAAAACCTACCTAGCTACTTAGGAGGCTAAAAAAAAAAAAAAAAAAAAGCCAGACCAGGTAGGAAAGTCTGTAAGACTCCTAACTCCAATTAATTACAAAAAAAAAAAGGTGCCAAAGTATAGAGATGGTTCAAGTGGCAGAGTGCCAAACTTGAGCAAAAAAAGCTAATGGTCTGAGTTCAAGCTCCCATATCGGAAAAAAAAGAAGAACTTAAAAATGACAAAGTATTGTGGTGAGCATGCATAGTTTTTAGGAAAACACTATTCCTTTGTTGTTGTCAGTCCTGGTACTTGAACTTGGGGCCTGGGCACTGTCCCTGAGCCTTTCTGTGCTCAAGGCTAGCACTCTACCACTTGAGCCACAGTACACTTCTGGCTTTTTCTGTTCATGTGGTACTGAGTGCTAGGCAAGCACTCTACTACTAAGCTATATTCCCAGCCCTACACTATTCCATTTTATAGAAAGAATTTGAGCATCCATGGATTTTGGTGCCTGTGGAAAGTCCACAGTACAACCTCAGCAGACAGTGAGGGATGACCATTCCCTAAATTCCCTCCCCCGCAAAATAATGAAAAATAGAAAGTTATAAGTAAAAATCATTAAGTAGTTCAAGTGCCACCCTGTATTTTCAGCTGCCCCGAATCTGTGACCCATAAAAAAGCAGTTAGCTGGGCCCTGGTGGCTCATGCCTGGAGTCCTAGCTACTGAGGAGGCTGAGATATGAGGATCATGATTTGAAGCCAGCCCAGACAGGAAAGCCCATTAAACTCTTATCTCCAATTAATCACAGGGCTGGGAAGGTGGCTCAGTGGTAGAGCGCTTGCCTTGCATGCCTGAGGCCCTGGGTTCGATTCCTCAGCACCACATAAGCAAAAAAAAAGAAAAAAAAGCCGGAAGTGGTGCTGTGGCTCAAGTGGTAGAGTGCTAGCCTTGAGCTGAAGAACTGAGGGACAGCGCCCAGGCCCAGAGTTCATGCCCCACGACTGGACCCCTCCAATTAATCACAGAAATACATGGAAGTGGTGCTGAGGCTCAAGTGGTAGAGCACTAGCCTTGAGCAAAAGGAGCTCGGGGACAGTGCCCAGGCCCTGAGTTCAAGCTCCAGGACCAGAAAGAAAGAGAGAAAGGAAGAAAGAAACAAAGAAACAAAGAAAGAAAGAAGGAAGGAAAGAAGGAAGGAAGGAAAGAAGGAAAGAAGGAAGGAAGGAAGGAAGGAAGGAAGGAAGGAAGGAAGGAAGGAAGGAAGGAAGGAAGGAAGGAAGGAAGAAAGGAAGGAAGGAAGGAAGGAAGGGTGAACAGTGACTCAGAGGAACATTGGGGTGTCCCCCAATGGAGGACAGCTTCTTGGCTGGCTATGAGCCTGGTGAGGAGTCTTACCTTGTCAATGCTCATCTGCCTGCAGGGAAAGGAGAAGGTGAAGCCCAAGGGTAGCTGGGCTCCCTTGAGGCCCATGTAGTCCAGAAAGTCAGCAATGCACTGCACAATGTGGTCAAAGAGCTGCCGGGAGAGAATGGCATTCATGCAAGGTGGGCACTGATCAGGGCAGGAGGCTGGGCACAAGACCCATCCCGGGCACTCACCTCTTCACCAGTGCCCTGCATGATCTCCAGGGGGATGGCAAAGATCTTGTTGTACATGCGCACTGACCTCCGCCCACTTCTGATCTTCACCAGGAGGACCCGGAAGTTAGTTCCCCCCAAGTCCAGGGCAAGAAACTTTCCTTTCTCTGTGGTGGAGAGAGGAGGCTACATTGCACCAGCATATACTAAACAGGTGCAAGCCCTGCAGACCCACAGCCTTCCTTCCTGGGCTCCTACTTGAAAAGGGCTTCAGGCCTTGGGCTGGCATCCTCAGCTGGTCTGTCAGCCTGCACTTTCCCTGTGGCAAATTCAGGTCCAGGTGTCACTAAGAGCCCTGGAGCAGGGTACTGGTGCCTCAAACCTGTAATCCTAGGTACTCAGGATGCTGAGATCTGAAGATCGAGGTTCAAAGCCAGCCTGGGCAGGAAAGTCTGTGAGACTCTTATCTCCAATTAACCATCAGAAAATGGGAAGTGGTGCTATATGGTTCAAGCGGGAGAGCCCTGGCCTTGAGCTGAAGAGCTCAGGGACAGGGCCCAGGTCCAGAGTTCAAGCCCAACAATAGAAAGAAAGAAAAAGAAAGAAAGAAAGAGAGAGAGAAAGAAAGAGAGAGAAAGAAAGAAGGAAGGAAGGAAAGAAGGAAGGAAGAAAAGAAAAGAAAAGAAAAGAGCCCTGAACCAGAGAGAGGTAAGGGACCTGGCAGGTCTGGGCACTGGTTTCTCATCTTCAGCAAGAGTGGTCAGGTCCAAAGCCACATCTGCAGAATGAGGAGGCTGGGACTCTGCGAGTCCTCTCAGAGCTGAACTCCACTGACCAATGGCCTGCTGGGAAAGCTCAAGGCACTGTGTCTTGAATGCAGGGAATCTGGCAAAGCGCATGCTAAAACGGACCCTCCAGGGGCCTTTGAGGGTAACTCAGGCTGGGCCACCCTAACTGCAAGGAGCTCAGGGTATCATCATCCTGTCTGAAGAACCCAGAGGAATCCCTCCTCACAAGCATGAAACAATCCTCTTCCTTTGCTTTTCCCTGGTCCCCCTGGCACTGTCTAAAAAATATAACAAGTCCTATCACCATGGGGCTATACAGCACACATGTGTGTGCATGCACATAACACACACACACACACACACACACACACACACACACACACACAAGGTAAGCCAAGGCACACAGGTTCAGAAGGACTAAACTTCTACTTTATGTTTCCTTCCCTTCCTTAACAGATCTGAATTTAAAATTTTTAAAACAGAACCCTTGGGGGCTGGGAAGGTGGCTCAGTGGTAGAATGCTTGCCTTGCATGCATGAGGCCCTGGGTTCGAGCTCTCAGCACCACATTAAGCAGAAAAAGTCAGAAGTGGTGCTGTGGCTCAAGTGGTAGAGGGCTAGCCTTGAGTTCAGGCCCCATGACCAAAATAAATAAATAAACAAACAAACAAATAAACAAACAGAACCCTTGGCTGGGAAGGTGGCTCAAGTGGTAGAGCGCTAGTCTTGAGCTGAAGAGCTGAGAGACAACGTCCAGGCCCAGAGTTCAGGCCCCACAACTAACAAAAAATTAAATTAAAAAATAAAAACAGAACCCTTCACTGTGGTTAGTCTTTTGTTGGAGCCTTTTGTTGTTATTGCATTTTGCTTTGTTTCATTTTGTCTAAAACAATGTAACAGCTTGTAATCTAGGCTGGCTTGAAACTCAGGATCTTCCAGAGTTCATCAGTTCCATTCATACTCGGCTGATTTAAGGGTTTGGTTTTGTTTGGAGGTGGGGGGTTGATTATTTTCTGACATTACTTAGGCCTAGAGTCCTGTCCCTTAGCTTATTCATTTGAGATTAGTGCTCTACCACTCAAGCCACAGCCTCATTTTCGGCTTTTTGGTGATCGAGGTAACTATAATCATAAGGTCTCAGCCTCTTGAGTAGCAAGGATTACAGGTGTGAGCCACTGGCGCCCAGCAGTTTTAAGTTTTGAGGGAAGCTGTGTGTGACCATTCAGAGAGGAGGCTGTGATTCCCACCTGTGCCATCCGGCATCCCACAGACATAGGTGGGCAGCATCTTGACTGTGGCCAGTGCGTGGGTCTTCTTCTTCAGTCCATACTCTAGCTCAGCTCTCATCCTGTCCTGCACACCAGCAAGCTGCTCCCGGGTCAGCTGGAACAAAGCCAGCACCTTGTCGATCTGCTTCCGCTGGGCCTGGACACGGGAAGCCACTGCTGTCACCATCGCGGCTCCCTTGGTGCTGCCACTCTCTGACAGGAGGAAACGGACATCACAGTTTGGGACCAGCCTCCTCACCACCTTGTGCAGACGTTTGGGGTACCTAAAGGTAGGGAGGATAGGGAAATACTGAGAATCATCAAGGCCAGGTCTAGCCAGTGGGAACAGACAGAAGAGAAGGAGGGGGCTAGCCCTGGGCAGTGTGCTTGGCCAGGACCCAGCCCTTGAGGTAGTGTGTGTGTGTGTGTGTGTGTGTGTGTGAGAGAGAGAGAGAGAGAGAGAGGGAGAGAGAGAGAGAGAGAGAGAGAGAGACTAGGACACTGGGACAATGGAAGGAACATTAGGAAGTGCCCATTTGATGCACTGATGTTTCATGTAAGGCAGGTCCATGTGTGATATGCTGACTGAATATTATCTGGCCAGTGGGAAGGACCTTTTCCTGCCCAGGCTGCCTTTGAACCTCGATCCTCCGATCTCAGCCTCCTGAGTAGCTAGGATTATAGACGTGAGCCACTGGCACCTGGCAATGGGAAGGCTCTTTTACAGCTCTACGTTTTTTTGGTCATGGGGTCTGAACTCTGAGCCTGGGCACTATCCCTCAGCTCTCTGAGCCACAGCACCACTTCCGGCTTTTTCTGTTTATGTGGTGCTGAGGAATTGAACCCAGGGCCTCATGCATGCGAGGCAAGCACTCTACCAGTGAGCCACCTTCCCAGTTCCTTTTGTAGCTCTTTCCAGAGTATACCCACCTGACTCCCAGTGCCACCTCTGTCAGCCAAAGGAGCTTTTGAACTCTATATATCTGAGAAATTCTCATTTCTGTGTGTCTTCCTACCAGGATCCTTCATACAAGGTGTATTTTACCTGATACCAGTCTTACCAAATAGAAAGTATTTAATAAATAATACAATGATACATGGATGGGGGAATGCAGACATCCATGTATGCATGGATGCATGGAGAGATGGGTGATGGACATATGGATGGATGCATGGATGGAATGGATGAATGGGTACATACATGCATGGATGTATACCAAGATGAATGGATGGATAGATGGATAAGTGGATGGATGGACAGATGGATGGCCTTCCTAGTTAGGCAATGTTTTTTTTTCCCTGGTCCTGGGCTTGAACTCTGGGCCTGAGCTCTGTCCCTGAGCTTCTTTTGCTCAAGGCTAGTGCTCTACCACTTGAGCCACACTGTTTTCTGAGTAGTAAAGAGTCTCATGGACTTTCCTGCCTGGACTGGCTTCAAACTGTGATCCTCAAATCTCAACCACCTGAGTAGCTAGGATTATAGGCATGAGCTACCAGTGCCCAGTTTAGGCAATGGATTTAGCAAAATATTTCTTTTAAGAATGTTTCCCAACTGGGAGACAGCAAAGAGAGGAGTAACATGGTCCAAGACGAAAAGTACTCATTACCTGGCTTATGTAATGGTAACTCCTCTACACATCACCTTTATAATAACAATTCAAAATAGAAAATTAAAACGAGTGCTTCCCTAAAGCTACCTAGGCAGTTAGACAAAAATGCTCTCTATCTGTCGTTTCTCTTGTAATCAGTGGCTCAGATAAGCAACACAGACCAGAGCACACACCGGGCTCCCCTGCGCTGTGGGCTAGGAGGCAGCACTCACTGAGGGTGTATCTTGTAGACAGTGCCGTCCATGCCCACGGTGGTCCTGAGTCTTGCCAGCTTCTTGTTCTCCCGGAGGCGGGTCAGGATGGCCGCCAGGGCCGCCGCACAGAGGTTAGCAGAGCGGAACGAGACGATGGTGCAGACGTGCTGGACAGCAATGCAATCAGCCTCAGAGGGCTCTAGGCCCAAATCTGTCAAAATCTCCCTTGTATTAGCAAGGCCTTCTTTATACCTAGCCAGGAAACAGGATGAGAAGATCATACTTTGCCAGACTAGGGGCTTCATCCTGGAGGAATCAGATCTTCTTCTTCCTCTCAGGACTGTGCAAATAAATAGGCTGTCTCACGATAATAATAGTAGTAGTAGCAGCAGCAGCAGCAGCAGCAGTAGTAGTAATAACAAGTGGCTTCTATTTACCAGGCAATTATTATGTGACAGGTTCTTGTCTAAGGATTTTACATCTATTAACTCTTCTAATTTTCACAACAGTCCTGGGAGGAGTACTGCTATTACAAAATGACAGTATGACAGTGTGCATATGAGAGATGTACGTAACTTGTTCCTCATCACACCGTAAGTGCTAGAACCAAACTTTGAACTCAGGAAATTAGAATGTAGAACCTATCATTTTTTTTGTCAGTCATGGGGCTTGAACTCTGGGGCCTGGGCGCTGTCCCTCAGCTCTTCAGCTCAAGGCTAGCACTCTACCACTTGAGCCACAACACCACTTCGTGTTTTCTGGTAGTTAATTGGAGATAAGCGTCTCACAGACTTTCCTTCTCAGGCTGGCTTTGAACCTTGATCCTCAGATCTCAGCCTCCTTAGTAGCTAGGATTACAGGCATGAGCCACCGGTGCCTGGCAGAACCGACACTTTCAATTATCCTGTGCTATGCTGTCATTCACAGAAACTCTGCTGCAGGGTCAGACTCAGAGTGAGCTCAGACTCTACACTGATTAGAAAAAGTAGAATAATGTCAGGGCTTGTAAGTCTGAGGAGCAAGGCACTGAGTTGACTGGGGTGGCCTCCTTCACCAGCCAGCTCTCCACTGCAGGAATCTGAATGTGGAGCTCAGATCACCAGGTCTAAAGCCAGCCTTCCTGGGAGCATGTGGAAAGGGCTCTTTCTGTATCAAGGGTTCTTAGTTTGCAAGGTACCTGGTGGCTCACGTCTAGAATCGTAACTACTCAAGAGGTCTGAGAATCATATTTTGAAGCCAATCCAGGCAGACAAATCTGAGGGACTCATCTCCAATTAACCCACAATAATCTGGAAGTGGAGGTGTGGCTCAAGTGGTAGAGCACCATCCTTGAGCAATAAAGCTAAGTGAGAATATGAGGTCTTCAATTAAAGCTTCAGTATTGGTACATATGCACACACCCACACTCACACATGCACACGCACACACACACACACACACACACACACACACACACACACATACACACACACACACACAATTCTTAGTTTGGATCTCACATACAGGCTTTCCAAGCTGCAAGAATGCCCTGAGAGTGTAGTAAAACTGTACATAATATGCATTTGGGGAATAATGCCTCTGAAACGAATAAGATTCTCAAATGGATCCAACATCCTAAAAACATTGCAAGACATGGAGAAAAAGTGGCCCTCTGACAGCTGAGTCCCTGGCTGATAAAGACAACCATAATATGGCATCTGAGTCATGGAAAAAATTGCTAACCCGCCCAAATCTGTGCCCAGTCCCGAAGCCTGCTGTGAAGGAGGGACACCTACTGCTCCCCCATCACCTGAACACCTTACCCTTTGCCACCACCTCCCAGCCCTCTGCAGAGGTAAGGTAGTGGGGCATATGGCTGGTGGCTTACTTCTCCATGGCAGCCACATGCTGTGTTTCGATCTTGCCCTTCGTGTGGAGAGCAGAGGATTTCTCACCGCCAAACAGTAGACCAGCCTTGGCCATCTTCAGCAAGATGAGCCTGACAAGTTCCCCCAGGTATAGACCACTGATCATCTTCTCAAACCTGCAATTCAGGGAACACATCAGTGGAAGCAATGCTTTTGGCTACAAAGCATCACCTCCCAAAGCCCAGGAGTCTTGGGCATGTGCAGGGCAGGAGCCCGAGGGACTGAGAGTCTCCAACGCAGTCAAGGAATGACGTTGGGAGGAGAGGACCACTTCATTGAGATGAACCATCCTCATCTAGTCCAGGAGAGGGAGGGTTAAGATTCTTTCCTACTCCAGAAGTACTGGACTCCAAATCTTTATCTCCGTTCCCTCAGTCATGGGGCTGCCATTGTCGCTTTGGGCATCGGGAACTTCAATGCCACAGGCCTCAGGTAGCTGCTTACAATAAATCAGCTATGGATTGGCTAGGCAAGTCACAGACACAGGTGCTTTCTGCTCCTACATGGAGCTTTTGTGCAAGAGACTACAGATGCTGCTATGGGTTGGATTTGGTGTGCCCCTCAAAGGCCCATGTATGGAAGGCTTGGTCTGCAGCACTACTGGGAGGTAATGGCACCTTTAAGAGGTGGGCCTAGGGGCTGGGAAGGTGGCCCAGTGGTAGAGCACTTGCCTTGCAATGCATGAGGCCCTGGGTTCGATTCCTCAGCACCACATAAGCAAAAAGAAAAAAGCCGGAAGTGGCGCTGTGGCTCAAGTGGTAGAGCGCTAGCCTTGAGCTGAAGAGCTGAAGGACAGAACCCAGGCCCAGAGTTCAGGCCCCACGACTGGACCCCCTCCCAAAAAAAAAGAGGTGGGCCTATGAAAGATCTTCTAGTCACTGTGGCAGTGTCCTTCAAGGGGATATTGCTTCTTTCTTCCTTCCTTCCTTCCTTCCTTCCTTCCTTCCTTCCTTCCTTCCTTCCTTCCTTTCTTCCTTTCTTTTTTTCTTTTCATCTTCCTCTTCTTCCTCCTCCTCCTCCTCCTTCTCCTCCTCCTCCTCCTCCTTCTTCTTTTCCTTCTTCTTCTTTATCCCACCATTGAGACTTGAATTCAACATCTGATGCTTTTGCACATTGACTGGTGCTCTACCACCTGAGTCATGCCTCCAATCCCTTTTGAGGGGATATTTGGACTGCATCCCTTTCTTTTTTGGGGGGGGGGTCCGGTCATGGGGCCTGAACTCTGGGCCTGGGTGCTGTCCCTCAGCTCTTCAGCTCAAGGCTAGCACTCTACCACTTGAGCCACAGTGCCACATCCAGCTTTTTGTGCTTATGTGGTGCTGAGGAATCAAACCCAGGGCCTCAGGCATGCAAGGCAAGTGCTCTACTACTGAGCCACCTTCCCAGCCCCTGCATCCCTTTCTTCTTGCTCTGTCTCTTTTGCATCCAGCTATGAGATAATTAGGCTTCCTTTAGCACATTCTTCTGCCATGGCTCATCACTGACCCAGAAGCAACAGAATGAATGGAACATGGACTATGAGCTAAGATAAATCTTTGTTATCTCAGGCATTTGTTACAGTAACAGCAAGCTTCCTTCTTGTCACTCTAGGCTCTTCTGTGGCCAATCACTTACCTGACTGGCAGAGCCGTTTCATTTGGTTTCCAGCCTTATATCTAATGCCTTAAATGCACATACGTACTCAGGAATATGGACTGAATTAGAGTTAGGGTTAGGATCTAGGGGACAGCTCTCCATTTCCTTTGCTCACCTGTCAATACAAGCCTTGCCTTACAAACTTGTAACAGATGGCTTCTCATAACCAGAGTCCTGTCCCACGGACAAAGAGGACCCGAGTGAGCCCAATGCCGATGCCAGGATTAGAGCAGGAGGGACTCACAGTTGCTTCCCTGGGTTGAGCGAGCCAAGGTCCAGCTCCCTGTCAAATTCAGTGCGGATGTCCTCCAGGGACCCGTCGTCCCCAAAGGCCCCCCACTCCGTGTTGATGCACATCCTGCCCTCGTCGCCTTCCACCAGGTCGATGTGGCTCATATCCTCCATGTAGCAGGCGTTGGTGCCAGTGCCTGAAAGAGAGATCAGAGAGAATGGGTGGGCAAAGAGAAAGGGACAACTGGGCAAAACAAAGGAAGTTCAACTTGGGCATCCTCCTTAAGAGCATACACAAAGTGCTGTTCACTCTCACCCCAGGGCCTGGTTCTGCAGAGGAAAGTAGCTTTGGCAAGACGGGGGTCATAAGAAAGGAGCTGGCATGTCCTCTGTATATTTCTCAGGGTGTGGTTAGTGGTTTGCTACTATGAATGCAGTTATTGGGAGACAGATCCTGATAATATGTATAAGATCCCCACCCACTTACAATAAGAGGAGGAAGAGAAGTTAAGCTAATCTTATAAGTACATAAACCAAACCCTCACCAATCTAGAGTAATTTTTTTTTTCAGCCTTGGGGCTTGAACTCAGGGGACAGGTACTGTTCCTGAGGTTTTTTTTGCTCAAGGCTATGTGCTCTACCACTTGAGCCACTTCAGGCTTTTTCTGAGTAGTGTATTGGAGAGAAGAATCTCATGGACTTTCCTGCCTAGGCTGGCTTCAAACCATGATACTCAGATCTCAGCCTCCTAAGTAGCTAAGATTACAGATGTGAGCCACCAGCTACCAGCCCCAGAGTAATTGTTAATATTCAGTTGAAGCTATTTATATTCCTCTCTGTTTGATATTAAAAATATTAGCCAAGCATCAGTAGCTCATGTCTAGCTCCTCAGGAGGCTGAGATCTAAGGATTACAGCTCAAAGTCAGGTAGGAAAGTCTGTGAGACTCTCATCTCCATTAAACTACCAAAAGAAGCTGGAAGTAAAAAAAAAAGAAGAAGCTGGAAGTAGAGCTATGGCTCAAGTAGTAGAGCACTAGCCTTGAGCATATGAAGCTCAGAGACAGTGCTCAGTCCCTTGAGTTCAAGTCCCAGGACGGGCACACACACACAAAATTCATTACTCATGACTGGCCATAAATTGTTCTTATCATAAGCTACATTTTACCTTTGATAGGGATTATTACCCAATAAAGCAATGTTCAGGTACAAAAAAAATGATCCAAAGAAATGTCTCAAACACTGAGTACAAATAAATAACTTTACTTTGAGCCGGGCGCTGGTGGCTCATGCCTGTAATCCTAGCTACTCAGGAGGCTGAGATCTGAGGATCGCGGTTCAAAGCCAGCCCGGGCAGGAGAGACTGTGAGACTCCTATCTCCAATAAACCACCAGAAAACCAGAAGTGGCGCTGTAGCTCAAGTGGTAGAGAGCTGGCCTTGAGCTGAAGAGCTGAGGGACAGTGCCCAGGCCCAGAGTTCAAGCCCCACGACCGACAAAAATAAATAAATAAATAACATTACTTTGAAATCTCCTGAGATAGTGGGTAGACTCTATAATTAGAATGGATGGACACACAGTAAACACTGGTGGATAACTACGCAGGAGGCTGAGATTGGAGGATTGAGATTTGGAGCCAACCCAGGCAGAAAATTCTGTGAGACTCTTATCTCCAATTAACCACCAAAAAGCCAGAACTGGAGCTGTGGCTCAAGTGGTAGAGTGCTAGTGTTGAATGAAAAAAACTAAGGGAGTTTGAGGCTCAAGATTAAGCCCTAGTACTGGCATAAAAAAGAAAAAGAACCACAAGAGTGGATGATTACAAATTTTGTATAAATTTACCAACATTGAATTGTATATCTAAAGCAAGAGAATTTTAATGACTCAATAAAGCTGCTTTTATTTTTTGAGGGGGAGGTCAGTCATGGGGCTTGAACTCTGGGCCTGGGCCCTGTCCCTCAGCTCTTCAGCTCAAGGCCAGTGTTCTACCACTTTAGCCACAGCACCACTTCCCGTTTTCTGGTGGTTTATTGGAGATAAGAGTCTCATGGACTTTCCTGCTTCGGCTGACTTTGAACCATGATCTTCAGATCTCAGCCTCCTGAGTAGCTAGGATTACAGGGCAAGCTACTGGCATCAAGCTTGCTTTGTGTGTGTTGGAGCTGGGAAGGTGGCTCAGTGGTAGAGTGCTTGCCTTGCATGCATGAGGCCCTAGGTTCAATTCCTCAGCACCACATAAACAGAAAAAGCCAAAAGTGGTGCTGTGGCTCAAGTGGTAGAGTGCTAGCCTTGAGCTGAAGAGTCAAGGGACAGCAACCAGGCCCAGAGTTCAGGCCCCATGACCAAAAACAACAACAAAAAAAATTGTGTGCCAGTTCTGGGACTTGAACTCAGGCCCTTGGTACTGTCCCTATGCTTTTTTGCTCAAGGCTAGTACATTTGAGCGACAACACCACTCACTTTTGGCATTTTGGTAGTTAATTGGAGATAAGAGTCTCAGACTTTCCTGCCCAGTTTGGCTTTGAGCTGTGATCTTCAGAACCTAGCCTCCTGAGTAGTTAGGACTACAGGCATGAGCCACTGGCACCTGACAGAAGTGAGGTTTTTTTTAAAGGCACACCCAATCATCTATCCTCCCACCCATCATCCACCAGTGCCTCCCACCCATCTCCTGGAGGCCTTCCCATGTCCCATGCCCTCCATGATGCATCCAACACATCCAGTTCTCTGCCCTGTCCATCACTCAGCCTTCCCTCACCTGACCTGGTTCAGACACTATCAACTTTTTGGTGTACCCTGGACACCCCAGCCTCATTCCCAGCTCAAAGACCAGAGGTTTCTTCTTTGCCAGGGACTCTCCCTTCCATTTCTGAATGGCTCTCTGTCTTTGTCACTGAGTTCCTTGGCCGGATGCCCCCCGCACAGCAGCCCTCTGCTCTCCCCTCCCCCCCTCCCCACCCTCTCCCTGCCACATTACCACACTAACCACTACCACATGTGTTTCTTAAATTAGATCTTCTTGGCCTTCTCCCCTCCTCCAAACAGCGTGCCCCAGGAGCATACATGGGTATCCTATACACAGGACAAGGCCCAACATACCACCGGCACTCTTGGGACATTCATTGAATGAATGAATGGAATGAATGAATGATGCATGGACTTCTTGTGTCTCTGGGCTGCTGCTTTTCCTTACATAGTCAGCTTCAGTGCCCTTCCTACTTAGAGTCTGCTGACTCAGCATCCGCTGCCCACCTCCAGAACACAAGCCAGCCACTCACCAATGATGACACCGACTTCGCAGTAGGGATCATCGTAGGCACACGTCATCATGGTACCCACAGTGTCATTGACCAGGGCCAAGATGTCCACGTCCAGGTCCTGCTGAACACAAGGCCCAGAAAGCATCAGAGCTGGGAAGAAGATGGGATCCCCGCTCCCCTTCCAACAGAGGAGGTGAAAACAACGAAGACATCACTAGACATTGTCTGCTGAGCCAGGGTGGAAGAAACAGGCCTTTGTCGAGGTCGAGGGGAGCCCAAGAGGGGACACTATGCTTCTGCATTAAGGGTGATGGGTTCTATATGAGGGGAATTTGGGGACCGCCTACCAGGAAAGCTACACTGCAAAATCTGCCTCTTGGGCTGCAGTACAGTTCTGCAGTAGAGAGCTTGCCCAGCATTTCAGAGGTCCTGGGTTCGTTACCCCCAGCTCCTTGGGGGTAATGAGCAATTTCCTCAGCAAGGAGCAAGTATTGCTTTTGCAATTATACAAATTATTATCAAATATGTTCAACCAATAAAGATCCTCAATGAACGGAGAATGGAAAATGGAATCGAGGGCAAGACTAAAAAGAAAATGATCAGCTGGGCACTAGTGGCTCACATCAGTAATCCTATTCAGGAGGCTGAGATCTAAGGATCAAAGTTCAAAGCCAGACTGGGCAGGAAAGTCCCTGAGACTCCTATTTCCAACTAACCACCAGAAAGCTGGGAGTGGAGCCGTGGCTCGAAGTGGTAGAGTGCTAGCTTTGAGCAAAAGAGCTTAGGGACAGCGCCCAAGCCCGGAGTTCAAGCCCCATGACTGACAAAAACAGCTATTAAGTTTCAGAGAGGAGAGGTGGAAGCACCACCCATCTCAGGATAACCCCCCCGAAGGGCTGTAGCGGGTGGGGGGGTGCGGGGGGGGGGGGCAAGGGAGACAGGGGCTGCCTCTTCATGGTGATGAAGCCATCCCCACAACTGAAGATCGATAGTTTCCCTTACCTAAACTGCCCTCACCTACGCTACGTGAGACCCCACCCCAAATCCTTCTCTGGTTCTCCTTCCAGGCAGGCACAATACAAGACCCCCAAGAGAAGGAAACTGGGAGTAGGAGAGGCCCTGGGCTAAAGTGAATCACTCACCTTATGCTTTTTCATGGCATTGGTCAGACGGCTCACGACGTCAGTGTCCTGAACTCCCCGTGCCTTGAACTTCTTAGTCCAAGAAAGCAGGACGCCCTGGGAGAAGAGTTCAAATGAAGAAGTTGCTTGGAAGTGGCGCTGTGGTTCAAGTGGTAGAGCGCTCGCCTTGAGCTGAAGAGCGCAGGGACAGCACCCAAGCCCAGAGATGGGGCATAAGCAGAATGTCATACAGAGCAAGCCCATGGGCTTCTCCTCGCTAACCAAAGCACCCCAATTCTTTCTCCTAGTGTTTTTTTCCCCATTTCCTGGAGTTCATTCCAATAAATATTATTTGATATGATCAGATGCTCATGGGCATTGTGCCTTTATGTTCCTCTCCTAGGAGTACCTTCTCTGGTCTCACTGTGTGTGAATGTCGAGAGGCCTGTATAATTTACCATGTTTTAGTGTATATTAGATCTAGCTTCCTCATGTGAGGGTTCATTGTGTTTTTAAGTGACATATAATAATTGTATATATGCATGGGATATGGTGTGATGTTTCAGTACGTGGATACAATGTGGAATAACCAAATCAGGTAACTAGACTGGGCACAGTGATTCATGTTTATAATCTTAGCTACTTGGGAGGCAGAGGTAGGAGGATTGCAAATGTGAGGCCAGACCAAACAAAGTAAGTGAGACCTTATCTGAGAAATGAAATAGAAACAAAAGATCTGGAGTAGAGCTCAGGTGGTAAAGCAAATGAGAGGCCCTGAATTGGGCCCAGTACTGGGGAAAAAACATGATAATTGGTATAATACTTCAAACGTTTGTCATCCCTTAGTGGTGATTCTATTCAAAGTCCTCTCAGTTATTTTTAAATAACTATAGCCTATAGTTACCTATAGCCACCTTTCTATAGAAGGAATACTGAACTTACTTCTCTTTTGTAATTGCAATTTTGCATCTACCTTCTATCATCCCTCCTCCCGCCCCTTCCCAGCTTATGGTAATCAACATTCTACCTTTTGCTCCTATGAGCTTAGTTTTTCTAGATTCCAAAAATGAGTCAGCTTTGCCTGCTTGGCTTATTTCATTAAACACAATGACCTCAAGCTCCAACCATAGCCACAAATGACAGAATTACCTCTTTCTGTGGCTAAATAGTATTCCAAATGTGGACCACATTTTACCCACCTATTTGTTTATGGGCAGTTAGGTAGATTTCCATATCTTGACTATTTTGAATAGACTCAGTGTTGCTGCAGAGGCATTTTCTAATCTCAACATCTTTATTCCTCTCATCTAAGTTTATTGAAACATCATATATAGTAATCAGAAGTAATTGTCCAAGAGTCAGAACATTTGGCACCTCCATTTCTTCATTTATATAGTGGAAATGCTACAGTTGCACAGGCTCCGATGAAAACATCTGACATATGATAGCTATGAATTATAAACTGTATTATTTGCAGATCCGCAAAACAAAACTAACGCATGGCTTTTGCCCTATAGGGCCCCCTCAAGAACTTAATTTTTATCTTGGAAAAAAAAAGGGTTCTCAAGTTGCATTATTAATTATTTCTTTACAAATCGTGTTTTAGAAGACTTTCACTTCTGAAATCCCAAATAAATCGTAGAATTATTCAGAGCAGCAAAAAACTTCGAAGTTAATAGAATCACTGAAGTCTAAGCTCAAGATCACACATTCCCCAACCACACTTCTTCCAGTCACCTCAGCTTATAGATAAAGAAACAGATTTAGAGATTAGGAGATGGTCATAGGTATCACAGAGCAAATAGAGGGCCCAACATTATTAGATTTCAACACTGTAATCACAGGTCTCTAAATGCACACTGACCCCAGGTTGCAGGAGCACAAGAGCAACACAGCGCCACCGTGTGGCAGCTTTCTAACTTCTTCCTTCATAGGCTAAAGCAATGTACTTGCTTTATTAGAGAGAGAGACCTAGCCTGTGGTTTGAGCATATAATCCTAGCTATTTAGGAGGCTGAGATCTGATGATCGCAGTTTGAAGCCAGCTCTGGCAGGAAAGTCCCCATGAGACTCTTATCTCCAATAAACTACTCATAAAAAGCCATAAATGGCATTGTGACTCAAATAGAAGAGCACTAGCTTTGAGCCAAATGAAGCTCAAGGACAGAACCCAGGCTGAGTTCAAGACCCAAGGACCAGAAAAACAGAGAGATCTGACTCTTTGTGTGTGTGTGTGTGTTTGTGTGTGTGTGTGTGTGTGTGTGTTCCAGACCTGGGCTTGAACTCAGGACCTGGACACTGTCCCTGAGCTTCTTACGCTCAAAGCTAGAGCCACAGCACCACTTACAGCTTTTTCTGTACTAAGGAATCAAACCCAGGGCTTCATGCATGCTAGGCAAGCACTCTACTACTAATCGACCTTCCTGGCCATCCCCCCATCTCTCTCTCTCTTTTACATTTTGTTTCCATTTCCTGGGGAGACCTGAATTTTGACAATAAATTTCTAGCCCCAGAGGCTGTCTTCCTCTATATATTTTCTTTTTTTGCTACTGAAGTTCAAACTCCAAGTCTTGCACACGTTAGGCAGGTGCTCTACCACTTGAACCACACAGTCATTTTTGCATTTATTATTATTTTTTAAATTAGGGTCTCAACTTTATGCCCAGTTTGGATTTAAATCACGACCCCCAGATCTCTTCCTCCCAAGTAGCTAGGATTACAGGTTTGAGGCACCATCCTTGGCCAGAAAGTCATTTTACATGGCCTGTTATCTATTCTCTTAGATTTTCCACAGAGGATTGGGATGGGCTTCCTCTGTTCACAAAATGAAGAACTGAGACACACACAGGCCTGAATTCCTGCCCTGCTGGTAACATGGCTGAGACTATATACCTGCTGTGCTGGGTCTGCTCAATACATGTTTGCTCCTGACCCAGTCCTCATCCTAAGGACTCAGGCATGAGATGCCTGAAGCCGCTCATTCTAGCATCACCATCCTAAGTGTGCTCCTCAGACTGGGAGCATGGCCTCTCCTGATAGAAATGCAAATTTTATTCTTGCTGCAGACCACCACTCTATAGAGCCCAGTGATCTGTCTCCCATGCCCTGCAGAGGATTCTGGTACACAGCAAGGTTTGAGAATCACTGAAAGCCATTCCATTCTCTCTCTCTCTCTTTCTGGGCTCATGGGAAGTATAGAATCAAAGCTACAGTGGGGATTTCTTTTGTTCTTGGGTTGGATGTGAGGACTGAACTCAGAGCCTCTCCCTTTGCTTAGCTCTTTTGGCTCAAGGCTGTTGGTCTGTCACACTTGAGCCACAGCTTCACTTCCAGAGTGGAGCTGGTTTGTTTGGTTTTTGTTTTTGTTTTCCTGGTTAATTGGAGATAAGAGTTTCATGGACTTCCCTGCCTGGGCTAGCTTCAAACGTCAATCCTCAAGCTCAACCACCTGAGTAGCTAGGACTACAGGTGTGAGCCACTCGTGCCCAGCAAGGTTATAATGTTAACCAGCTTTCTGCTTCACCTGTCACCTAACTGTGAACACAAAGTAGAGAAAAGACAAATCAAAATGCCCCTGCTACCTTACCTCTTCTAGCTTTGTCTGTCTGCAGGGAAAGGAGAAGGTAAAGCCCAGAGGCAGCTTCTTATGCTTCAACTCTTTGTGCTTCATAAAATCGGACAGGCAGTCAGCGACATAGTCAAACAGCTGTAGAAGAGAAAGCACATAGTGAACAAATGAACGAATGAATGAATGAAGGCCCCTGGACTAAGGCTCTCCTGGCCGATCCCAAGGCCTTCCCTTGCCTGCCAGTACCTCCACGCCATTCCCCCGAGAGATTTCATTGGGCATTGGGTAGAACTGACTCTCCATCTGGACGTTTCGTTTCCCCTCTTCTGAGACTTGCACTTTCAAGACTCGAAACTTGGATCCTCCAAGATCCAGAGAAAGGAACTCCCCATTTTCTATGAAGAAATCAAAGCAGTCAGCGTGAGAGCATGCATTTCAAGAGGACATGTAGGAAATTCCATTTAATCTCTAAGTCTTCCTCCCACCCCTACCTTCTCTGGCTGGGATCCTGTCTACTTGCTGATACTTGGAGAGCAGCTCATATTGCCATACAATAGGGGGCACAGCCAGAGACAGAGCCTGGGCCCAAGTCTGTCCTGATAGCCCAGCCTGTCCAGTTCAGTCAGGAAATGAGCACACAAGCCCACTTCCTGCAGGTGGTCTCAGCCTATGCTAGCATACTGTATGTAGGAAGAGAGCTGATGCACCAGCCGTGAGGAAAGCTCAAGATAAAGGAGTAGAAGATACGACACAGGGATGTATAGCAGAGAGAAAAGTCTCATGCAACCCTCCATCTGACAGGAAGAGGGAAAACACTCCACGAAGCGGGTAAGGATAACAGAGACCAAATCATGACTAAGAATGCTTAATTTTATTTTAGACCAGAGTCACTCCAAAAAGAGAAAACAGAATGCATCCCAGTCTAGCTCATGAAAGATGCAATCACAAAAGGTGAAGCTGGATACCAGTGGCTTACCCTGTAATTGTAGCTACTCAGGAGGCTGAGATCTGAGGATCCTGGTTTGAAAACAGCCTGGCGAGAAAGTCATGAGATACTTATTGCCAATTAACTACCATAAAAGCCAGAAGTGGAGCTGTGGCTCAAGTAGTAGAGCATTAACCTTGAGCAAAAAAAGCTCAGCAACAGCACCCAGGCCCTGAGTTCAAGGCCCAGGACAGGGGTGCGCGTGCATGTGCATGTGTATGCGCATGTGGAAAGGATACATGTGGATGTGTGGAGAAGTGACCCTCCCTGATATTGTCTAAAGTCATGGTCCTGCCAGTCCTTTAGTTAGTGTCCACCACAGCGATGGGATGGAGATTCAGGTATGCACCACTTGATCTTTGTACAGAATTCTCCATGCCTGTAGTTGATTCCATGCCCACAAACCTAGACCCAAGTAGCTGTGTTTCATACTGTGTAGCAGCAGCCATAGTTAACTGTATGTAAAGGGCCAGTGGCTAATCAGTGCCACTCCTGTAAACACAAAAGAAGGGAACATGAAACCTCCAAAACTAGAACTAGAGGCTCCTGGGAGGAAAATGCTTCAGGTCTAAATGCACCATAGTGTCTGTCCTTGGATTCCCACCAGATCCTGTGTATCCTTCTTTGCCGCCACATCCTCACATGGCAAACTTTCCTGACTAAGCTCCAGTGGGTTTCTCTGTTCCAGTAATCTCACTCTCATGCATGTGCCAGCCATGGGCACCTGCGTGGCATGTAGACGGAGGCTCAGTGGAGAGGCCTGAGGACAGGTCCCACTTCTAACCACATTCCCAGGTAGCTGGTGAGCAGAATCTTCATTTACAGATCCATCTTCTGTTTCTAGGGAGACATTGGGGTTACCTTCCTAGATCAGCCCTCAGAGGACTGTTTTGGGGATCCATTTGTGGAAGGAGAAGGAATCCTACCCTTTTTTTTTTTTTTTTTTGGTCCATCATGGGGCTTGAACTCTAGGCCTGGGCACTGTCCCTCAGCTCTTCAGCTCACTTCCAGCTTTTTCTGTTTATGTGGTGCTGAGGAATTGAACCCCTGGAGCATACTAGGCAAGCACTCTACCACTGAGCCACCTTCCCAGCCCCCCTACCCACTTCTTATTAGCATTAATCATGTACCTAGAAAGAGGTTTATCACTCTTTTTTTTTTGTTGTTCTGGTTGTGGGGCCTGAACTCTGGGCCTGGGCACTGTCCCTCAGCTCTTCAGCTCAAGGCTAGCGCTCTACCACTTGAGCCAAAGTGCCACTTCCGGCTTTTTTTTCCCTGCTTATGTGGTGCTGAGGAATCGAACCCAGGGCCTCATGCATGCAAGGCAAGCGCTCTACCACTGAGCCACCTTCCCAGCCCAGGTCTGTCACTCTTGACGTGGAATATGATTCTACATATCTACTCTGTGCCATGCCATGGGGCAGGTGCGAGAGATGCAAACAGGACAGACTGCGGGGCAGGCTGGGGATTTTGTCAGAAGGACAGGGATGGAAAATAGCCATTCTCATCTAGTAGGATTCTTCTAGAATACTGCTCTGCTGATGGGAAGGCCAGGGAAGCACCCAGCTCTCCAGGAAGGTGAGATAGAGCTGAGATTGGAGATGAGAGAGAGCAAGGGCCAGCCAGCATCCAGAGACGGGAGCTCAGGCGCAGATCAGACAGCCCACACAGCCCACACGGCTGCAGCAGCAATTGCGCTGACAGGTGGTTAGGGTAAACCTCAAGGATTTGGAAAGCTACCAGGAGCTCGGGCTTTATTCCAAAGCTGAGAGTGATTTTTAAGGAAAGGAAAGCCAAGACCTGATTAAGATTTTGGGGAAATGCCTCTGGCAACCAGCCAGGGGAGACTTTGGCTTCAACTCCAGAAGGTGACTGGGCAGTCCCCATCGGAAGGGGAACGCTGAGAACTCCTCCCTCTGCCATTCACACTCTCTCTCTGACTCTAGATGCCTCTGCACAGGGAAACTGCATGGTGAAATCCCTGTCAGGAGGTGACTCTGACCCGGAGGAATGACTTACTGGATCCTGAGGAGGGAGGCCCTGTGGAGGCAGAGGAAAAGGGCAAGGATACAAAAGGCCTGCAGGATCTTTATAGCCATTATTATGAAAACTGTTCTCCAAGAGGGAAGGCTTCAGTTGAGCATCTATCTGTCTGCTGCTGCTGATCCTCAGAAACTGGGGGCTCCCTTCTCCTGAGCCACTGCAAGGCTTGTGTTTCTGTTTTCCCACTCCCTAGTGCAGCTCCCCACCCAGATATGCCGTGTGTGACTTAATGCACAGATTCCTGGAGATTCAGTGGGCAGAGGGAAAGGCCTGGGAAACCATGTCTAGGAATGACCCAGATGAATTGGAATCTTATGCTCTTCCATGGTACACACCTATGGGCCCCTCAGGTGGTGCTGGATGATTTCCTTGAGACTCCAAGGCTCACCCAAAGCCTACCAAGGAATAGTGTCAGAGGTCAAGAAGTCAGCCAGCTGGAGTAGGGCCAAAGAATTGTAATCACCATTTCTGTCATAATCTTGGGCTGGATGTTTCCCAGAGGCCCTTGCTGCGTGACTGTCAGAGGAAGACGCAGACCCTTAAAAATGACCAGGACAGGGCTGGGAAGGTGGCTCAGTGGTAGAGCGCTTGTCTTGCATGCATGAAGCCCTGGGTTTGATTCCTCAGCACCACATTGTTAAGTGAATAAATTGGCAGCCGGGGAAAGAGAGCAGCACATGGTATTCAGGCAAGGGAAGGGTTTATTTGCAGGATGCTTCTGGTCAAGTTGGAAGCCCTCGCAGCAGGAATAAAAAAGGGTCGAACCACAGCTGGGCCAGGACTTACCAAGGCAAGGGGCAGAAGAAGGTGTGGCCACACCAGATGGGGATGTGACCTCAGGGAGGCGGGGAGGTGACTGCCTTCAAGTGTGTCGGTTACCTAGGTGACACAGGTACTGGGCAGAGACTTAACCAAGAGGAGGGAAGAGTGTGCTCCACCTTCCCATGGTAGACCTTACACACATAGGCAGAAAAAGCCGGAAGTGGCGCTGTGGCTCAAGTGGTAGAGCGCTAGCCTTGAGCTGAAGAGCTCAGGGACAGTGCCCAGGCCCAGAGTTCAGGCCCCATGACTGACAAAATAAACAAATTAATTAATTAATTTTTAAAAATGACCAAGACAGGTCGGTGCAGTTCCCCAGTAAGAGTGGGTAGGCCTGGAAGGCTCAGGTGGGATCAGAGGAAGGGGGGAGAAATAGAAAGTCCTAAACCCCTACTTCCCTCTTCCTGTGGACCTATCTGCATATTAATAAAATTGCCAGTCTTTTCTGCTTGATCTGTTACTCATTCATTTCAGCAGACCGTAAGACAGGAGCAGTGAAAGAAACCTTGGCCCCTCAACTAATGACCTTACAAGTTGGTGGGACATGCTGACCACTCTCTTTAACTGAAAGGAAAAGAATACAGTAGTCCTGGGATTTACCAAGATCATCTGTTCACTAGGAACTCCTCAGCAGGGACCACACTAGAACAGAATGCCTGGGACTGCGTCCTGAAGAAAGGAGGCACGTGGAAAGGCACTGATGGTTCACACCTGTAACCCTAACTACTCAGGAGGCTGCGATCTGAGGATTGAGGTTTGAAGCCAGCCTGGGTAGGTAAATCCATAAAACTCTTATCTCCAAGTAACCAGCAAAAACCTGAAAGTGGAACTGTGGTTATAGTGGTAAAGCACTAGCCTTGAGCAAAAAATTTCAGGGACAGCACCCAGGCCCTGAGTTCAAGTTGCAGGATAGCAATGAAAGAAGGAAGGAAGGAAGGAAGGAAGGAAGGAAGGAAGAAAGGAAGGAAGGAAGGAAGGAAGGAAGGAAGGAAGGAAGGAAGGAAGGAAAGAAAGAAAGAAGGGAAGGAAGGGCAGGCATATAGCCCAGCTGAGGAGGAAGGAGATTCTAGAACTTAGCCCATCTCACTGCTAACCATTCTGAAGCAGCCCGCAGACTCCAGACCATCCAAGGCCACTTTCCCTTTCTTCTGAGACACACCCTGGGAGTATCTGGAGGAGAGGCTGTAGCTCTGCAGGCCAGGAGGACTTAGTTCCCCACCACCCCATGACTCAGACACTTTGGCAGAATGGCCCTGGATGACCTGTGAAGGACCACAGTCCCCTTGACATGCTCATTCAGTACTGTCAGACACACGGCTGAGACATGGAAGTGGGATGGTCTCACCTTCAGAGAGGCACACACAAACTGCCTCCCACCAGCGAGGAAGCAAGGCGGTTCCCATCACAATGTCCTAGGGGCCCCTTAACCAACACAGCCAAGCTGCCTTGACCCAAACCCAGCTAGTCCAATCAAAGCCCCTTCAGGTGTCTTAAGCTTTGGTCCCAGCTCTTTGAGAAAATCCAAGGCTCTGAGCAATTGAACTCTTCATATTGGGGGTTTTCCTTGCTCCTCAGGACTCCTGTCTGACCTGTAGCTACCCCACAGTGCTCTGTGAGGAATGCATGGAACAGTGAGTCTTTAGCATCTCACAAACACAGTAGGCGCTCAGTACATGCCACTTCTCCTCCTCCTACAGCTCTGCCCAGAGGCCAAGAATGAAGAACTCAGAGATGCCTTCTCTAGGCTGTAATAGGCAAAATAATGCTCCCATCCTCCAAAGATGTCTAGCTCCTAATCCCTGGACCCTGTGAAAGGATGCATGGCAAAGGGGAATGAAAAACTGTAGGCTGTAGATAGACTCAAAATAATTATCAGTTGACCTTGAGGTTGGAGATTATCCTGGGCTGTATGTGGGGAGGGAGAGAGAGGCTAGGAGGCAAGCAGAGATTTGGAGAGCTACAACTATTAACCTTGAGGATGGAAAGGAACATGAGCAAAGGACTATGGGTGCTTCTAGAAGCTGGAAAATAAAGACACAGATTCCCATTAGAACCTCTAAAAGGAACTCAGCCTCATAGACATCTTGATTTTTAGTACAGTGAGATCTGTTTCAAACTTCTGATCACCAAAACTATAAGGCTAGGTTTGTGTTGCATTAATCCATGAAATCTGTGAGAATATGCTATCAGAGACTTTATTAGAGGGTAAGAAAATATATGTTTAAGACCCTTGCCTGGGCCAGGCACCTGTGGCTCATGTCTGTAATCCTAACTACTCAGGAAGCTGAGATCTGAGAATCAAATTTCAAAGCTAGCTTGGGTGAAAAAAGTCCATGAGACTCTAATCTCTAATTTAACACCAAAAAGCTAGAGATGGAGCTGTGGCTCAAGTGGTAGAGCACCAGCTTTGAGCAAAAAAGCTCAGGGATAGCATCCAATCCCTGAGTCCAAGCCCGGGACTAGCACATAAAAAGAAGGAAAAAAAAGATACCTGGGATGACTATCAATCTTTTGCTCAGGTAAATGAAGAATGCAGGTCCAAGTACAGATGCCAGGTCTGTGAGCTGACCCCAGCTGACTATCTGAGATCCAGGGCTCATGTTCAAGAGTTGAATACAACAATAGAAACATAGTACCTAGGCTAACTCTCCCATTTTACAGCTGGAGAAACCAAGGTCGAACACTTGCCTGAGGTCACTAAGGAGCGACAGAGCTGAACCTAGAACCCAGGTTTTTAGAATTTTTATTTTATACTGCTCCCAGTCTACATGCTTCTTTCCATGACTTACTATCTGCAGCCTAGAATGTAGACCTCCGAGAGTGATGTCACTTGCTCATTGCATACACGGGGTCTAGTACAGGTGAGGAATGAGGAACACTGCTGAATAAGATCCTGGCCTCCTGGGGCTGTCAACCTGGAGGAACCCTCAGCCACAAGGGCTCTAACCAACCCCCAACCAGCTCAACCCAGCTGGAGACATGTCCCAGATACAGGCACTACGAGATCTCTAGGCTATTCTTGAAAAGCCAACCTTCTTGCTAGAGCAAGAAAGAGGGAGTAAGGTACCTCATCTCTGGAACCCAAGAAGTTCAGTGAGGCTGAAGGAGAGAGAGTAGGGCAAGAAACGGAATGTGGATAGAGATGCAGGGACAGATTAAAGAACAGATTATCTAGGATGTGTCAGCCAAGGAGCTATCAGAAGCCCTGGCAGCCACAGTGCCCCTCACTCACCTGAGCCATCTGGAATGGCCCTGACGAAAGTGGGCAGCATCTTCACAGAAGCTGTGGGGTTGGTGTCCTTCCCTAGGCCCTTCTCCATTTCAGCCTGGAACCGCGCCATGATGTCCAAAAGGATCTCGTCGGAAAGCCGCATGTGATACAGGAACCTGTCCACCTGGAACAGACGGCAGGGTGAGCAGGGTGGCTGCTGATGGTATCTGCCCTCCAGGCCCACCTTGAAGCTGCACTGCTGACTCTGTGGACAGCCTCTTGATGTCAAGGCCCCAAGGCTCCTTCCTGGCCCCTCAGCAAGCCAGGAGGAGGACAGAAAGGAAGGTTGTGAAGGGCAAACGGATGGGACAGAGGGTCTTGGGGATGGGAAGGACTTGAGGTTTCAAATTCCACTTCAGAGTCTTCTCTGCTGTGCTACTCCACTAGCTGAATCTTGAATCTTAAACTCCTAAGCATGGAAGATTTTTTGACAGGGTCTTCCTAGATAGCCCCAAGATCCTCCTGCCTTGGCCTAAACCCTGGGGTTTGGGGTATATCCCATCACACTTAGTTTAACATGCCACCGCATTCAATTTGTTGTTTGGTTTTTGGTTTTGGTGCCAGTTATGGGGCCTCAACTCAGGGCCTCATGCTCTCATTTGGTTTTTTGCTCAAGGATGGTGCTCTATCACTTGAAACATGCTCCCACTTTCAGCTTTTTGCTAGTTAATTGGAAATTTGGAAGTATTTCACAGATGTTTCTGCCTCGGCCAGCTTCAAATCTGGATCCTCAGAAATCTCAGCCTCCAAAGTCACTAGGATTACAAACCTAAGCCACCAGTACTGGCAACATGGGAGTTTTATTTAACCCAATAATGACATTAAAAAAATCCAACTACATCTCCCTTTGTTACTGGTTACAAGGAAGATAAGAACTAAATTCCAGTTCCAACTGCAATCTTTAAAATACTAGTTCTTTAAACATCCATTTTGGGTTAATTGAGGTTGTTTGAATTAAGATAATGCTTAATTCACTTTTGCGTGTTTGAGACAAAGTTTTGCTATATAGAAGTTTAATTTATAAAGTCACCTCAGAATGCAAAAGAGCAGATGTAGAATTGTTCAGGGACAGCTCCCAGGCCTAGAGCTCAAGCCCCACAACTGACAAAAAAAAAGAGAGAGAGAGAGAGAGATTTCATGTGACTGTTTCTAACATATTTATAAGATTATGTCTTTGTTGCCTTGTATGTCCCTCCCCCATGGTATAACCCCTGCTTTCACTATATATGATGTTGGTATATGTGGAGGGGAAGGGAAAAAACAAATAGTTAAAACAGGGATACAGGAGGACCCATTGCAACAATGAGATGTACAAGTCGTTATGTCGAAAAACAAACTTTACAGCTTTGGTGGGGGGGATGGGGGGGGCGGGGAGAGGATACGAAGGGATGGGAAGGGGAAACAAAGGAGGAGGCTACAATTGATAAGAAATGTGCCCATTATCTTACCCATGTAATTGTAACCCCTCTGTACAGTATTTTCACAATAAAAAAAAAAAAAGAGGGGCTGGGAAGATGGCTCAGTGGTAGAGCGCTTGCCTTGCATGCCTGAGGCCCTGGGTTTGATTCCTCAGCACCACATAAGCAAAAAGAAAAAAGCCAGAAGTGGCGCTGTGGCTCAAGTGGTAGAGTGCTAGCCTTGAGCTGAAGAGTTGAGGGATAGCGCCCAGGCCCAGAGTTCAGGCCCCACGACCGGACCCCGAAAAAAATAAAAATAAATTAAAAAAGAGCAGATGTCATTCAAGTAATTAAAACGTTGAGGCCAAACGACCACTACCCCAATAAGAAGGAAGTTATATAAAATCACTGCAGCCCACTCAGTCCACTTATAGCTCCATGTCATGTGATGAATGGCAGAAAATATCCTCACCATACTGATATCAGCCAGATTCTGGTGGCGGTCGGGGCTCGTTAGGGTTCATTGGAATGGGTTCTCCACGGGACAAGAGAGGCCCTGTCAGGCATTAGCTCGTTCTCCACCCATCTTCAAGAAGGTCACCAGGGGGAATGGTTCCAGGCACATTCTTGAGAGGAATGCAGTCTACCTCATCAAGTCTCTACAACACCCCTTTGAGGGAGAGATGAGGAATGCAAGGCCCAGGACCACTAAACAGTACCCTGACAGCTATTGTTAGGAGGCAGACCAAGCAATACAGGGCAGTCTCTAAACCTCTCATTCCACAGCCTGGTTTTGACTCACAACTCTTTGTGGCAACCTCATCCACAATAGCCAATCTACACCCAAACCAAAGGGCTCGCAATGTCTTCAGCCAGGCCTCAGAGGACAGGGGAATCCAAGCCAGTGAAATGGCCCCATGGTTCTGAGGACTTGGGGGGCGCCAAAGAGAGGCCAAAACACCATTAAAGGACAATTGAGCATTCAGTGTACTGGAGGAGATAGGATGTAACCAGGTCATGCTTCGTTAAGGGCTTCCTGCCCAGACTGTGTATGACTAATGGGTTGGCACAACCACACACAAGTGGGTAAACTGGATGGAAGGGACGTGACCTGAGTAATTGGGGCAGAGGAAGGGTGGAATGCCCTACGTGGGAACAAAACCTGATCCTTTATCATCATGCCAAAGCCCCTCAGTCAGTACTCCAGAGCCCACTGATCATCTTTGCTCAGCCCACCAGCACAAAGAGCTTCTCCAAGCATCACAGCATATCACCCTCCTGCTTAAGTCATGGTGATTGAGTCTGCTGTGTAAGAATCGTGTAGCACCTTGCGTTACTGCTGCTCTTGCAAGAAATTAAAATTGCCAACATAACAGTTTCTTATTTATTCTTTGTGTCTTCCTAAGGGAAGGGAAAACATAATAAAAACTAATAGTAAACTATCTTTTCAATGCCAACAGGTGAATTGGGACAAGTGTAAGCAGGGACAGTCATCTTGCGCTGAGGGAGGTAGGCTGAATTGCAGGAAAGCAAAGCCTCTTCTGGAATGGGAGATAAGGTCTAAACAGGAGAGCCAACTTGCACCTACGTGCTTAAAGCACCCAAGTATTTGAAAGAGTAAGTTAAAAAAAAAAATCCTCAAAACTCAGACCTATTTAATTAGAGAATGCAGGTGCTAAAAAAGGACCTTGGAGGTCAGTCCAAAGGTCTAATATGATGAACTGAGTCATAAAGTGGTTCCACTTTTTGACCTATCAATTTCATTACTGGAATCTAACTTCAGGAAATAGCAGAAATACAGAGAATGATAAGCATATGCCAATGTTCATAAAGTTGGGTTTCTTTTGTTTTTTGTTTTTTTTCTGTTGTTGTGGGGCTTGAACTCTAGGCCTGGGCAAGGTGAGCATTCTGCCACTTGAGCCACAGTGTCACTTCTGGTTTTCTGGAGTTTAATTGAAGAGTCTCATGGACTTTATTGCCTGGGCTGGCTTTGAACCTCAATCCTCAGATCTCAGCCTCCTGAGTACCTAGTATTACAGGCATGAGCCACTTAATCGTTAGAGTCAAAACTATCAAAATTAGCCAGGTGCTGGTAGCTAGTAATCCTAACTACTCAGGAGGCTGAGAACTGAGGACTGCAGTTCAAAGCCAGGCAAGGCAGGGAAATCTGTGAGACTCTTATTTCCAATTAACTACCAAAAAGCTGGAAGTAGAGCTGTGGCTCAAGTGGCAGGAAAAAGAGAGTGAAAAATCTAAGGGATAGAGGCCACACCCTGAGTTCCTGCTCCATTACCAATACACACATGCACACGTGTGTGCATACATACACACACATACATCAGTAAATTTTTTTTTTCTCTTGCCAGTCCTGGGGCTTGAACGCAGGGCCCGGGCACTGTGCCTAGGCTTCTTTTGCTCAAGGCTAGCACTCTACCACTTGAGCCACAGCACGACTTCTGGCTTTTTCTATTTATGTGGTACTGAGGAATTGAACCCAAAGCTTTATGTATGCTAGGCAAGCACTTTACCACTAAGCCACATTCCAAGCCCCCAGTAAAAATTTTGAACCTGAATGTTCTCTCTTTACATAGAATAATATTTTAGTTGTTCAAAAGAATGTTTCTATAGTATCCAAATGCCCTACAAGTCAGAAAAAGTTGAACAAATTATAATACATATATACTTAAATAAATATTAGAAAGACATTAAAATGAGAATTAAGAAGATGAGGGAGAAATGTAGGCAAGTGGTCAGTATATTATAATATAGTAATATTATAATTATGATAATAAATGAGGAGGAGGAGATTCAGAAGTACATGAGAGCAGATTATCAATAAATTGCAAGAACCAAAAAGACCAAAAGGTCAGTGTTGGAACACATCATTACAGTGTTAGTAATTGGAGGGAAATTGATTAAAAGTGAGGCTCCCACTTTCTGTAATGTTGACTTACTACACTGTAAAAAACACACACGGAAAGCCAACCAGGCCTGCTCTGATGGATGGATAATCTGCAGGTCAGTGACCAGGCTTGGCCCAGTGTTTCCAATAGGTCAAATAATGTCAATATATTGAACTGAAAAGAAGTTGTCAGAGTGGTTTCTCTTTCATGTTTTTTCCTTTTGTCTTAATGTTAATATTGGGATATTGTAGAACACTGCCCAGGATCTAACCGGAACTCTCACGGGTAAGTATGGCCTAGCATCTTGACATTTCCCAAGACAGGAAGCACACAGTCAGGCGCTAGCCACCTGACCCCAGCCGGGAAACATGCTGTGCCTTTGACCAGGTGTGTACTTGCTACATGGAGGAATGTTCTCAGAAGCTGTGACTCAGACAAGCCGCCATAAACTAGCCTCCCCCAGTTCTCCAGAGACCTGCTGGGCCTTTGATTAGGGTGTCTACAAACTACTCCCTACTTTCCTCTCTCCCACAGGGAGACTCCAGGTTTGACAAAGGCTGACCCTCCTTCTAGAAGGATCTGAAACACATGAGTGGAGCACACATCTGGGCTGGTAGACAAACAGGTCCCACCTTATCCTGGTAGAAGGAAAGGCCAACCACCAAGGAAGGCACCAAGGAAACTAACTTTGTAGAACCCAACTTCTCTCAGGGTACTAATGGTTCCCACTGGGTGGGAGAGACACATAGAGATTGCACCTTTCCTAGGCACATTAGTAACAAAGTAAATCCTACAGTACATTTTTGCCTCCTTAGCCAATAAAGGACTCATGAATCAATGACTAAAATTTACAACATGCACGCATGAGTGAGTGAGTGGTTGAGAGAGAGAGAGAGAGAGAGAGAGAGAGAGAGAGAGTGTGTGTGTGTGTTGGTCTTGGGGCTTGACATCAGGACCTGGGTGCTGTTCCTAAGCTCTTTTTTTTTTTTTTTTTTTTTTGCCCCAGGCTAGCACTCTACAACTTAAGCCACAGTTCCACTTTTTTTTTTGGTGATTAATTAGAGATAAGAGTCTTATATAGATTTTCCTGCCAGAGCTGCCTTCAAAGCTCAATCAGTAGATTTTAGCCTCCTAAGTAGCTAGGATTGCATGTGTGAGCCACAGATGCTTGGCTGATTTATATTCTTAAGTATGCTGCAACTCTTAACTCTAGTGAATAGAATGAGTGGAAGTTTACCCATGAAGCACTTGGGGGCTAGAAGAGGCCACACCTCTTACTCTGAAACCTAGTAAGTCATCCTCTTTCGTTGAAAAGGAAGAAGGCTAAAAGAGATATCCACTGGTTGAAGTTCAATCCTCATTTTTTACTTTAAAGACCTGGGTGGTCTGGGCTGAGTCCATCTACCAAGCAGATTTCTGTTCCTATCAATTGAGAGACGCTAAGTGCCCTGGACTATCACTACCAACTTGGTCACTTGGGACTAGTGAGACAGGTTGGCCTCATTTCAGCTGCCCAGGAGGGGATCCTGATTCCTCAGTAAACTAACACAACTTGGTACCATTTTTTTTCTAGATAGGTTTCTGAAGCAAAGTGACAAAATAAAGCTTTCAATTGGCAAACAGCCCATGATAATAACAAGTATTTCAATGATCATATATTAAAACTCATTATCTCCATTCAAATCCTAGCACTACTAAAAACAAAACAACCCCCAAACCTTCACATACCAGCCAAGCACAGTGGTACACCCCTGTAATCCTGGCTACTCAGAAGGTTGAGGCAGATGGATTATTTAGACATAATAGCTCAAGGCCAGCATAGTCCATATACACAGAGAAACTCCCATTTCAAACAAACAAATAATCAAGCTAAATGGCACATTGCTGTTAATGTCCATGTTTTATATGCTTTTAAATATATAAATCGTCAAGTCTGGCTCAAAGGTTCATAAAACTTCCTTACAAATGACTCTCCTATTTGGCTGTCCCCCCTACCCAAATTCCTGAATTGAGCACAAAGCTCTTCAAGCTTTCTGAATCCTTTATCTTGTTCCACACCTGATATCATGGGAAGTTTGGACTGAAACTCAAGGTTGGTTTGAGGCAGTACTGCAAAGCCCAGGGTGTGTGAGCTTTGCTTCCTCTTCCTCCTGAGTGTGTCACTAGCCCTTGATACCTTTTCTAATAAGGTCTCTTAAATTTGCTGGGGTTTCTGACCCCAGCACCTTGCACAGGTCTGGCGAGCTCTCTACCAAGTGCCACCTGAAGCCTCTCAATCCTTTCTGGTACAGTCAGGAAAGCATTTGGTTCTGCCAGAGGGGAAGGGTCGGGGCATGTCTCAGCGTCAGCATAGCTTCAGCGTCCTTACCTTTTTGATCTGATCTTCTTTCAGCTTGGTGAAGTAAAACGCCAGCAAGTGGACCGCAAACATCTTCCCCAAGTTCGGTTTCTCCTGAGATGGGCAAAGAGTTCTGTGAAGTTTGCTCTTCCGTGTCCAGAGCTCTACACACTGCCTGTTCAGGCTGGGAGATAGACGCTGTGGACTAAATACTTTTAGCCTGTCTGGTTCAATGATTAAACTTTACTGGTCTCTTGTCCCTCCCTCTGCCACACACTTAATTATCTAACAGGAGATTGCAGTAGTAGCTGAGGGCCGGTGGGCCGGGAGGCGGGGAATTGATGGGCTGCTTGTCTATTTGAGAGTTGGGTGCCACAAAATCTTGTTGCTAAGCAACACTTTCAGGCTAGTGCTCCACCAAGCCCACTCAGCCGAGGAAAATCTCCTGAGAAGTTGGGCACAAAACAAAGCCAACTTTCAATCTGCTCTGCAAATCTCTAGTGGCCAGCTTTCCTCTATTTACTCCTTTTTTCCTCTACCCAGTAAAATAACTCCATGACTCCCCAGCCCTCTGAACCTCTCTCAATTAAGACTAAACAGTGCCCTGGCCAGAAGAGTGCAAGAATGCACAGGACAACCCTTCCATTTGTGACCAGTGTTAACTAACAGCCCATAGTTAATGGAAAACAATCAATACAGGGTTATCTATTGACATAGCCATACAACCCCTTATTTCACAGGTAATGATGACTCAGAAAAATAAAAGTATAAAAATGAATGAAAACTACTAGGACTCACTAGGAAGCTGCCAGAGAGAAAACTTGGAATATACTGGGGGGGGCAGGGGGGAAAAACAGTTCTTGCCACTATGATCTTTGGTTCACATGCTTATCTCACTCATCATCCTTGATGTGAGAAGGGTCTGGGAGGAGCCCATGTGTGGGAAGGATAAACTTTGCACTTTTCCCACAGTCTCTGGCTGTCTATAGAAATCAATAAGAACTATGTTAACAGCAGCTAACGTGGATGGAACACTTACTAGACCCATTTTATAGATGAAAAATTGAGGTCCAGAAAAGTTAAGTGTCATACTCAAATTCCTAAAGTTTGTGAATGCTTCAACCAGGAATCAAACCCAAGAATGTGATTCTAGAGTCTAGTTCATAACTAATACATTAACACTGGCTTGCAGACTCTTCTTTTTCCATGTAATGCTCCACTGACAAATATCAGAACCATTCTGCCTGCCTATGGTTATGAATTTCATCTATTTGGGAAACATTGTATCACTCAACAGAGGATTCCTTAGGGGAAGAGGTTTTCCTGGAAAAGAAATTCCTGACTCTAATGTTCCAAATATTGATCAAATGCTGGGCAGCAGTAGTTTACACAGCCAAGGAGGCTGAGCTCTGAAGAGCTGAGATCTTCACAGCCTGGGAAGAAAATTCTTGTCGCCAATTAAACCAGTAAAAAGACAGAGATGGAGATGTGTCCTACATGGTCGAGTGCTAGTCTTGAGCAAAAAAGCCAAGACAGTGAGAGGTCCTGAGTTCAACCCTCAGTACCGGCACATACATACACCCACAAAAAAATCTTATCTTGGTCAGCTTAACAGCCTCAGCTTTGTCTGCTTTTCTGCTGCACAATCTTATTAATCAAAACAATGAAGGATTGCTGGCATAGGCCAACAGCTGCTTCACCAAACTTAGGCTTGAAATCAGGGAATGGGAATGGGGGAGAAAATTGATTAGAATGAGTCCGGATCCAAGTACTAGCCTGCTGGATGGAAAAACCTCTATCCTCTCTGTTTAAACCCTCAACCTATGGCTTTAACTCCTTTACTTATTTCACAAGCAAACAAAGGCTAACCTTTGCTTCTCCGAACCATTCAGCTCCCCTGTAGGAAAAAACTACTGGTATTCTGAAACAGGAATGTAGTGCCCTTCCCTGAACCGGCCAGGGTAATATCCCAGGGCAGGACCCCTTCCTAAGAATGCTAGTGTCGCCTGTCTTCACTTTACCTCTGCAATGCACAAGGCATTGATTAGGATTGATTTACCCGACATGGTGATAAGGAGCCACCATGGTCCCTAGGTGAAAGGAAACTAAGTCATAGCCAAAGTTCTCTGGAATCTCAGCGTTGCCAGTGTGGGTCAGACAGGCAGCCTTTGGAATTTTAATCAGCCCATTGACACCATGGGCTTTTCATCTGTTAACATCAGGCCATTTTTAATCTAAGCACACGGCATCTACATTCCAGGTGTGAGTTAGCAGGCTACACCAAGAAGCTTAATGATTACTAAGGATCACGTGCATTTGGACTCACCTAGCCTCACCCACCCCCCCCATTTTATAAAATGAAGATAAAAATAGATTAATTTACCATTCCTTATCTGATTATTTCCAATTCAATTCTTGCAATATTTCACCCTAATTAAAGCTCTATAAAGCTATTGAAAGATATCTAGGTATGAGTTTTACCAACTCAGGTTTTACTTAAGAACATACATAAGGGTTAATACTGACAAGTGGTTTCAACTAAAGCAGATTATTCCTGTAAAAAGAGACTCTCGTTTCTTTTTTCTTTTTCTTTCTTCCTTTCTTTCCCTTTCCTCCCTCCCTTTCTCTCTTTCGTCTCTCCCTCCCTCTCTTCTCTCTTTCTCTCTGTTTCTGTCTCTGTCTGTCTGTCTCTCTCTCTCTCCCCACCTCTCTTTCTGTTTTGGTGTCAGTCCTGGGGCTTGAACTCAGGGCCTGCTGGCTTCAACCATAATCTTTAGATCTCAGCTTCCTGAGTAGCTAAGACTACAGGTATGAGTCAAAAATGTCTGGCTTTTTTTTTCCCCTTTGTCAATACTGGGGTTTGAACTCAGGGCTTCTTACTTGCTAGGCAGGCATTCTGCTTGAGTCATGCCCCCTACCTGTATCTGCTTGAATAGGATAGGAAATCCAGAAAGTCTAATAGCATTTTCTGCTGATTTAGCAAACACTGTGCCTACTTAGTGCTTTACAGTATTAATTCCCCAAATGACTATCGTTCTTCCCATTTTAGAGATGGAGAAGCTTAGTCTCAAAGCCCCACTAGTGGATGTGTCAGGATGCACGCATCTGGCTCCAGAGTCATGCTGTGCTGCACTGGCTCTGACTACCCTGAGGAAAGACATGAGGAAATCAGGGGATTGAGGTAGAAAAGGCCCTGGAAATCACATGGGCCCTGGGTTCTCACTTCAGCCCCTCTGTCCTGAAAGATAGGTCAAGTTCACATGTATAAGGGGTTCCTAGCCACCTCAGTGGTCTCTCTGACAATGAAGGCAAATTGATGAGGTCACACAAAGGAAGGCAGGTGCCACACTGGACATGCTGACTGCATCTCCTGAATCTAAACCTTCACTGGTCCAGGGACCTTTCATCAAACTCCTCTGCCATCTCAGACCAATTGTTTTCTCAGAACAAGAACATGTGCGCAGCCCTTTTGGTCCAATCAGTTCAACACAATCATGAATCGATTTTGGGGGATGCTAGGAACAGTGAGGAATTTCATAAAAGTTCTGCTTCCATTACTAAACAAGTAGATCTTGAATTCTGCACAGTATTCTTTTGAATGGGAAGTTAAGTTGTCCATAAATCAGTGTGACTTGTTGGTATTTCACTTGCCACAAAAGAATGAGTGTGTGAGAACCAATGTCCATAAAAAAAAAAATCAATGTAGAAACTTCCGAACTCTGCCAGTACTTACAGTTACTATGGTGTCTCCATGGAAGCAGCCACAAATGCAACAGAAATGTTAACTTCAGAAAGTTTTAAAAGAATGCCGCTAGCCAATGTTATACATTTATTACCAACCCAGAGGAGGTCATTAATTTATAATACAACCTTTTTTCCCAACAGTACATTAAGAGTTATATTTGCAAAACATACATGTCAAGAAAACAAGCTATACAAGGAAAAGCATTTTGTATGGATTTTAACATTTATCAGCAAAATTTAATCCAAATTGCACAAAAATAACTACCTTCTAAAAGAAAATGCGATTTCTGGTTGACTATGAGATAAACCCAAGAGGATAGAGAAACAGAAAATAGTGACCAATAAGTGATCTTAATACAAAAGAAAGCTGATGAAGAAGTAAGATCTTAGCAGAGGAAACACTGAATCTAAGTGCTTGGCCACTTTTGAGAAGTCTGTCTTGTAACCCTGTCTGATTTATTACCTATGGTTAATAATAATAATAAATCGAAAGAAATTTCAAAAACAAAAATGTTAAATTATGCAGCATAGTTGACACAGGGTTCTCAGTTCTGCAGTGTGGTCAGTTGTATCTGTATCATTGTTATGATCCACCATGTGTTTCCCTGCCCTTAATTTTGTGAAAATACACTATGGCCCCCCAAAAGCAAAAAAGCCCCAAAAGGTCACATGATATGCTTAATGAAATTAAATTATGAAGCGACAACTTGGGATGTGTTGAGAGGTGACATGTCTTTAGCAGTAGCCAGACGTGGCTAGGGGAGAATGGATCAAGAATCCATAGTATTTTAATCCTAGCTACTCAGGAGGCTGAGATCTGAGGGTCACGGTTCAAAGCCAGCCCAAGCAAGGAAAGTCCGTGAGACTCTTATCTCCAATAAACCACTAGAAAACCGGAAGTGGCATTGTGGCTCAATCAGTAGAGCGCTCTCCTTGAGCTGAAGAGCTGAGGGACAGCGCCCAAGCCCAGAGTTCAAGCCTCACGACCAACCAAAAAAAAAAAAGAATCCATAGGATTCGAGGTGAAGAGTAGGAAGGAAGATCTAATTTTTGGAGAGCAATATTCATGTGAACAGCAGTGATTTTTGTGACAATCATGTAATCCACTCCCTGTTATTTCAAGTTATGGATAATACTCAGACTCACTGTACATATGGTGCTGGTAAATTGAATAATTGTTAGAAAGTTGCACTCCATCCACATCCTGAGCACTGTGGATTTTTCTGTGATGGTCTCATTGCAAATACAAAACCACAGATTTCAAAAAACCACAGATACAAAAAGAAGCAATTAGACTTCAGGGCCAGGCCCCTCTTGCCCTTCTAGGAGACTAGATGTTTATTCTTTGGTGACACTGAATCTAGTAGCTCTGGGCCCTGGGGTCAGCAGGCACCATGGAAGGCGGGAGTG